CACTCAAATAATTTCGAATACGATATAAAGTTTTTAATCTAAAGAAACAATTTCGAACTGTATTAGAGATATGATCTTGAAAGTGAAGGTTATATATAACCAATGTAACTTACTGATTATGTAGCTTTTTAATGGTGAAAGAATTTTTATTAGTCTAATAGTTTTTGAGTTATTTTAACACATAAAAAAACAAAAATACAAATATTTCCTCTTTATAATTATTATAGTTAACTGTTATTAGTCAATCAGCTGAGAAGGAATTGTTTTCATGGAAATATATTTTTTATATATTCTGGTGACTCATATTGCAGTACTTTACAGATGGGTAAGAAAGTAGAGCAAGCTCAGAGGGACGCGGATGCTGCAGTGATGCGGTACGCGGGTGCGGAGTGCGCTGCCATCGAGGGCAGGAAGGCTGCGGAGGCTGCAAAGAAAGCCCAGCAAGCAGCGCTCGCTGAATGTGAACTGCTCTCCGGAAAACTGAAGAGTGCACATTCTGAGAAACAGAGGATATGTCAGTTGTATGATGATAAGGTACATGGTATTTAAATAATATATAAACAGTATGTATATAATAAACTGCACCATGTACTATTAGTTAATGGGAGGCGAGTCAGCACAACCTTCAGTGACCAGTTGGACATCAGCTAAAGCTTTCAGCCAGCCTTTTGGCCAAGAACTGATTTTTTTTCATCATACACTTGCGCTTATCCCTTATGGAGGGTCGGCACAGTATGTGCTGCTTTTCCATACATCTCTATCAGCTGTCATATCTGAATCCACTCCTTTCAAGAACTGATTTTTTTTATGTATATTTTTGTTTGGTTAATAAATAGTGTTTTATTAATTATTTATTAATTTTTTTAAATCGTTATATTATGAATTAGTCTTATTAATATTATGAAAGCAAATGTTTAGATGGATGCTTGTTAGAGTTTGTAGCTTAAACTGCTGAGTGGATCTCAATGAAATTTGGCTTAGATGTAGAATGTAGTCTGGAAGAACACATAGGCTACTGAATATTTTTTAATTCCCCGCGAACAGAGTCTCAGGCGAAACTTAGTATGCATTATTACTAAATTTTTTTAATTATGATCTACTGAAATCTCTAGCAAAAGCTAACTTAAAATAATCCTTATAAAAATTTTAAATCTAACTTTCGTAATTTGATTTTGAATTAAATTATTAGTAGTTTTATTGGGGTTATCATTATTTTTTTTTATTATTTCCAGTGCCATGAGTTACAAAACAGCGATCGAGAGACGAACAAGTTACGTGAGGATCTTAAGGAATTAGAAGGCAGATTAAAATGGACGCAGAGTAAACTCCGCATGGAAATGGACGCATATAAGGTACAGATAAAAATATTTAATTGCGAAAATATAATCTGACCGGAGATATAGAAATCCTGATGTATTGCAAAAAACTTGGAGCTTTTTGTGCTTTGTGAAATTGATAAACATTATGACGCCAATTGAAGTACTTTGGTAACGCTAGATGTATTTAAAAATTCTCTCATGTTGCAAACAAAACCAAACTATTTTATTTTTTTTCTAAATAGATTTTCAAAATTACAAAAATGTCGACATTTCATGCAGTTGCCCCTCCCTCTTTAGTTATAACATGGCATAATAGCCAACAAAATTGCCAACTGTTAATCCTTATAATAATAATAGTATAGTAAATTTCAAATATCTTATCGGCTCGAACCATCACAGGAGTTAGAATACAATGTATGCATAGCTATAAAATGATCCAGGAGTACTACACTCACACATCACCTGGAGCCTACATAATATTTGAAAATACATGTATTTAATGATACATATTTAACAGTGGTAGAGCCTGCATTTTCGCACTGTAGGGCCGGCTCGCCCCCACCAATACCACGACCACACAGAAAACAGGCGTAAAGTGGAAGCAATTCCGCGTTTTGTCTGATGAGTGTAGTGCCGGAAGCCTAATTTTAGTACCTTTCCCATTCCACCCTTTTCTTAAGAGGAAAGGATGGGAAGGAAAAGTGGATTTGACCGTGGAGAAGACGCATAGGAAGTGGAAATGTCCTCTTTATGTGCGTCTCCTCCGTCAATGAAGGGTAGGCAACGCTGCAATTGCGGATATCTATGTGCAGCGGTCGCTTTCCATTTCGGTGGATTAAGGTGGCCACTTACGAGTTTGCCACCTTACATTATAAAAAAAAAAGTATTATTTATATAAAAAGGAGAGTTCAGAACGTGCGGAGAAGTTGTCCCAGCAAGTGGCGGAGCTAGAAGCTGGGAGAGACGCGGCCGCGGCCGGCGCTACTGACTCCGCCAGAGCTAAAGTATTAGGTAACTAATCATACTTCATACTAATATTATAAATGCGAAAGTTTAGATGGATGTTTGTTAGAGTTTGTAGCCTAAACTGCTCAACGGATCTCGATTAAACTTGGCATAGATGTAGAGGATAGTGTGGAAAAACACATAGACTACTCACGTTTGTTTTTTTTTAATTCCATCCGAACGGAGTCGCAGGCGAAAGCAAGTTTATAATATTAGTATGATAAAATTCGAAAACCTAAATTCACATTGGTACGGATTCGAACCCAAAGACCTGACAAGTCAAGTGCTTAAACCACTGAGCTACCGACGCTAATATATATTTTTTGTAATTGAATTTAGTATTTAAAAAATTTCAGAATGTGAAGTAAAGGAGAGTCAAGCTGCGTTAATTCTGTGCCGACACGAGAGAGATGAGTTGGAGAAGAAGTTGAGTTCGGTCTCTCTGCAGCTGGAGTCCTGCAGGAGGGAGAGGGACGACGCGACAGCTGCCCTCTCTACTGCCAATGACGAGGTAACCAACCAGGAATCTATAATACTAGTTGTGCGCGACTTTGCCCGCGTAAAATTAAAAAATAATAATAAACTATGCCACGGATAAATTACCTTTTTATTGGTTTTTTTAAAGCCATCCACTTTTTGAGTTCAATACATACAAAAATACAAATCTTTCCACTTTATAATATTGGTATACATTATAAAGAGAAAAGATTTGTGTTTTTGTATGTATTGAAATAAATCGAAAATTACTGAGACGGTTTTAAAAATTCTTTCTTCATTAGAAAGATTTGTGTGTAGTGAAATATGCTGTATTGTGTTATTATTAATTAATTTCACGCGGGTAAAGTCGCGAGCAAAAGCTAGCTATAAAATCTAAACTTTCGAATTGATAGTATTAGAAAGTAGATTAAATTGGCCTTTAGTCTCCGTATTATAAATTACTAACTATTGCTCGCGACATCGCCCGCGTATAATTATAAATAATAAAAATATAGCCTATGCCACTTGCTGATAAATTACTTTTTTAACGGTAATGTATATCGTAAAAGATTTAGAAATAAAACTGTTTTAACGGAGACATTATGTAATGATAAAATATGTACAGAAAAAGACTATAAAAAAGTGATGACGTCAACAATGTGTTCTAATTTTGAATAATTCAATTTCTTCTTCTTTTCTAATGGCTTGACTCTAAATACCTGTAAAAACTCCTTGAACAGGTAAAGGCATTTTTAAAATCGACCCAGGTTTTTAAGTTCAATGCATATAAAAATACAAATCTTTCCCCTTTATAATGTTAGTATCAATGTTTATTTTATATTATTAAAATTTGCGTAAGACATTATTGTTACTAATAATTTTATTATACTCACGTCTATTTTCCCGGTGGCGGCACCCACCAGTTTCTGATTATTTCCATCCGTAACCCTGCTCTGTCCCCACGTGGGGACAGATGAGAATAAAAAGCTTCGTCCGTCCCACCTTTTGCGACGAGGGGACGGTTGGAACTTATTTTATTTCGTAACGGTTCCATCTGTCACAGGCGATAGTGGGACAAAAAGGTGGAACGGATGAAACTTTTCATTCTCACGTGGGGACAGAGCGGGGTAACGATTGGGTATAATCCCCAATTTCGGACCCATCGCGGGTCCATCTTCAGGGAGAGTGTCATGTTTTTTATATTATGAGGTGACAAACGAGCAAGCGGCCATCTGATACCGCCAAAATGGCGAAGCGACCGCTGCCCATAGACATTCGCAATATCGACGGAGGAGGAGACGCACATAAAGAAGATGTTTCCTCTTCATATGCGTCTCCGCCGTCAAATCCACGTTCCCATCCCAACCTATTCTTATGAGAAAAAGGGTGGGAAGGAAAAGGGACAAAGGTGGGTCTCCCGCCCCACACACATCAGACTGTACGCAGAATAGCTTCCACTTCACGCCTGTTTTCTGTGTGGTCGTGGTATTGGTGGGGGCGAGCTGGTCCATTCGTGCGAAGATGTTAAAGCGGCTCTATCAATAGATATTTATTTTTGTAATCCACGTAGTTCAACATGTAAACAGAATTATGATTTGTTTGTCTCCTGTGTGTCTGTCTGTCTGTGTGTGTGTGTGTGTAGGTGTGTGCGCTGCGGGCGCACAACGCACGACTGGAGCAGGAAGCGGCGGAGCTGGCGGCGTTGCGCGCGCAGGCCGCGCTCGCAGACACGCTCAGCTCGCAGCTGCAGAGGTAATCATCATCATCATCATTATCATTACCATCATCACCATCATCATCATCATCAGTAGTCGTTATCTGCCCAATTCCGGACATAGCCCTTCCCCAATGCCTTCCACAGTAGGCGGAGGTATACTTCAAATATGTCGGCCCGCAACATCGCATCAGACAGTACACACATTTAAGAAATACATAGTGATTTTTATCACCAGTACTTTCCGTACAGTGTACTGGGTAAGGGGGTCGCGCTAAACGGGGTATTACTGTATTTGGTTTGAGTTTGTTTAATTTTAACGCGTGGCATTTGAGCGCGAAATTTAAAATTCGCGTTATAGGGAAACCGTGCGTAAGGGGGTCACGCTAAACGGGGTATTACTGTATTTGGCTTGTGTTTGTTTTATTATCTTGGTGTGTAGGGAGACGGAGCGCGCGTCGCAAGCGGAGGAGTCTCTAAGCCGGGAGCGCGCGCGTGCGGAGACGTGCGCGCGGCGCGAGGCGGCGGCGCTGGAGCACGCGGCGCGCCTCACCGCGCAGCACGTGGCGCAGCGCGCGCGCACCAACGAACACCACGCGAAGGTCGTATCAAACATATTGTATGAAATACAAAAATATAAAGTAACATTTAATCTCTTCACACAACAATACAATCAGAAATAACAAAAGAAAAACAAACATGACATAGTAATTATGTTGGAAAAAAATGTAATTAAATAATAGATTATAATTAGCTCAGCTTTAAATTTACGAAAATACAAATCTCTTTATAATCAATACTTCTATACTAATATTAAGAGGAAAGATTTAAGTCCCTATCCTTCCCATCCTTTTCTCAAGAGGAGAGGATGGGAAGGAAAAGTGATTTTGACGGTGGAGGAGACGCATAGGAAGGGAAATGTCCTCGTTATGTGCGTTTCCTCCTCCGTCAATTAAGGGTAGGCAACGCATCTGTAATTGCGGATGTGTATGGACAGCGGTCGCTTTCCATTTCAGTGGATTCAGGAGGTCGCTTGCTCTTTTGTATTTTTACATGTATTGAACTCAAAAACCACTTGGCCGATATAAAACGCGTGTCCAGAAAACAATAATATGAAACTGTCGCCTTACATTATTTTTTTTTAAATCGTAACTTTACAAATTTAATTGCAATAATATAAAATATATAATTGCTATTTAATATTATCAGGCGCAGGCATTATCCGCCGACAACGTGTCATTACGTGAACGAGCTGAAGCGTTGGAGAGTGAGGCTGAGAAACTGCGCACTTCACTCGCTGACGAGGCTGATAGAAGACAACGAGAGAACAGAGTGCTCGCGAGGAAGGTAAAAGAAATAATTTTAAGGTATTAAAAGAATGTACTACTATGTACAGGGTGATTTTTAACGGACGGATATACGGTTTTGTGGAGGTAGAGGACTTCAATTTAAACGCAATTTGTTGCCCGATTTTCTATGGTTTTAAAAGTTTATTTTTTTTTTGTTTCTGACTCAAATTATCCTGCACATCCAAAATAATGTTTTTACAGTAGTCATTATATTTTCTTTAACAAGGCTAATAATTAGGCTTTCGTACCGTTATCCTTTTTCCTTTGTTTTTCATATAAAAAAACGACTTGAAATAGTCGAGAGCGACAATCTCTTGTAAATCATACAAAACATATGAAAACTACGTTTATCAAAGAAGTATAAGGAGCCATTTTTTTACACTTTCAGGTGGCAGAATTGACGGAAGAAGTAGCAGAAGTGAACAAGAGATTGGAGTGGGAGAAAGGAGAGAACAGCGTGCTCAAGAAGAAACATTCCAGTGCCATAAAGGTAATTCATAAAACAATTTATAGTACGTTAAAATATAATATAAACATTCTAAAAACATGAGTTGACAATATGACATCTGAAAAAAAAATTATACATATGTACCAGTTTATAATTTATGCATGTCGTAATCCGTCAGTGTTTAAACTGAGAAGATAACATCACTGAATAAATTCTTACTAATATTATAAATGCGAAAATTTAGATCTATGTTTGTTACTATGTAGCCTAAATTGCTGAATGGATCTTAATGAAATTTGTCGTAGACTAACTGTTGCTCGCGACTTCGTCCACGTGAAATTATAGCCTATGTTACTCAGCGATAATGTAGCTTTCTAATGGTCAAAGAATTTTTGAATTCGGCCCCGTAGTTTTTAAGTTATTTCAATACACACAAAAATATAAAAATACAAATCTTTCCTCTTTGTTATATTAGTATAGATGTAGATGATAGTTTGAAAGAATGCATAGGATGCTTACTTTTGTTGTTTTTTTTTTTAATTCCACGCGGACATAGTCGATATTTTGTCGTAGAAGAGACTAGTTAATAATTTATTTGTTAAAATAATTATTTTTATCCGAAAACAAGAGTTGTATATCTTAAAGGATTAACAAATGTATCTTTTTTTGTCAATTATGTTAATTTAAATGGTCTGTGTAGGAACTAAATCGTGAACTGCAAAGAGCTTTGAAACGCAGCGAGCAACTTGAAGCAAGGCTGCAGAACGACACCGCCTCAAATAGAACAGGTATTACAGTTATCTATTAATTCACCCGTTAGTTTATTTATAAAGTTTCAATAACAAATAATTAGTTATACTCCTCTTGAATAATTTTAACCGATGCGCCTGTTACTTTGTCATAGCAATTATTTGACAAAAGGTTTAATGCGCCAAGCGCCTGCAGTTTTTGTAATAGCAATCGAAAATCAACGTTTACTTTTTAGTTTCATTGTGTTATTTTTGTATATTAGGCGTAGTTAATTACATGTTTTATTAGTAGTGTATTTTTTTCAGGTTCCGTAACTTCGTTGAGCAGTGGCGAGGGCGCGCAAAGCGAAGAGCGCGCTCAGAACGGCTTGCCCGACCCACTTCCAGATGTACAGGTCGGGCTTTTTCAGTCTCTGATTACCCAACTCTTTTATAACTTGTTAAACTGGTAACTGTTACTGTGAAAATAGATTTTAGAATTTATATATTTTAATTCTTTTTTCACAGATAAAATATCCAAGTTTTTTTGAAAAACTTTTCGTGAAGGTTCGATTTATATGTCTCGTAGTTTTATTGTTGATTTAGATACATTAGAATATAATTTTATGTAATATTAATTTCGGCAAAGAGCCGGCTCACACCTTTGACTAAACTATCGCAGAACTGCTGTAAGATTGTACTTTCGTTAAAAATGGAGTGCGCTCTCGTTCTAGCGAGACTAAGCAGTTGGGCTATAATTTAATCAAAGGAACGCTCTAATAGGTAGAACTACCTGACAGTAACTTTTTTTTAAATCGGAATAAAGAAAACTAGTGCAATTTGTAAGCAGTATATATCGACGGGTAAAAGTCGTATTTGTTCCAACCGCCATTTAGGGCGATATTGACTTATATATCTATGTATTAAGAATCAGCGAATTTTAAATATGAAATAAATAACGAAGTGTGCAGAATTAAGTAATTTTAACCTAGAAACGGTCTGAAAATCTTTTTATTAAAATTATTTTCAGGGTTTTCTTTTTTTTTTAAATGAAAATGGCTCTCTTGAACATTTAACCTAATGGCGCTTAAAACAAATAGCCTTTCACCCATCGATATATACATATTTAGAATAAGCCAATATTTCTGCGATCAGAGAACTTTTGGCGTTTGAAACAATGAAATTGTAGATGTTTGTTTCTTTTCTAAAATTAAAAACTTGGAATGGCTCTCTTGAAGATTAAACGTAATGTGTGCAGAGCCGCGAGCCGGAGCGGCAGGCGCTGATAGAGCGCATAGTGTGCCTGCAGCGGGCGGCGGCGCGCCGCTCCGAGCGCTGCGAGTTCCTGGAGGAGCACGCGCGCCAGCTGACGGCGGAGCTGCGCGGCAAGGCGCGCCTGCTGCGCCACCTGCTGGCCGCGCAGCCCGCCGGCGCCGTCGCCCCCAGCGCCAGCGACCACAACAAGGTGCGCTGACACTTGTATACAACTGTACAATGTCTCACTGACACTTGTATACAAGTATACATTTGACACTTGTATACAAGTATACATCTGACACTTGTATACAAGTATACATCAGACACTTGTATACAAGTATACATGTGACACTATAGTATCTTGTTTCGATTATGGTTCGTCTAAAGAAGCTTGATTAGTTTGACAATTTGGTAGAGATGGGTTGTGTTAAATCAGGCTTGAATCTTTTTCGATTTTTACTGTCATAGAAGTTGGAATCGATAGATTCATAGTTATAATTTAAAATAAAAAAAACACTGTTGAACTGTTGAAAAAACACAAAACAACACACACAAAAACACAAAATGACCTACAGAAGCAATACAAAGAATGTGGACTTGGATTATAATAGTGTATACTTATATAATGTGAAATCAGAAGTTAGTAAACAGTGGTAAACATACACACACTATTTTGTACCTACCTGTGCATTTCGAATGTAGTGACACTTGTATACATAAGACACTTGTATACAAGTATCTTTTCGAGTAGTTTTAGTACCAAAGCTAATTGCTAGAACCATTTACAATGCTAATAAACATTTGTTTATCACTTGCCGCTTGAAGCCGAAGAGGAGATTAACGAAGGTAATTGAATAACTTTATCTAGTTTCGTTTCAACGCCTAATATTAGTTATAAAAACCATATATAGTGGCTATTGTAAAGATTATAGTAATTATGTATCGTCATACTGGATGTGAAGTATCCAGGTTGCATCCCAGTCCAGTGCTGGAGTGCAGTGACGTGTGTGTGTGCAGAAGGAGATAGCGATGCTGGGCGGGGGCGCGATGGCGGCGCTGTGGGGCGGCGACCCCGCGGGCCTGACGCCGCAGCTCTCGCTGGAGATGAACCGCCGGCTGCAGGCGCTGCTCGAGGACACGCTGCTCAAGAACATCACGCTCAAGGTCACCTCAACACACATGATACTAGAGATGTCATAGTGAGCGTGATAGAGCGACTTGATAATGCGAGTGAAAGAGATAGAGCGATATTGTAATAATACGAGTGAAAGAGATAGAACGATAAATGATGAGAATGTAAGTGTAAAAGTTTGAATAGACTTAAAATGTTTGGTGTAAACGGTTAAATATATCTTTATATCTCATTTCTTATTGATATAAATGCCAAAATTTGAATGGATGTTGATGGATGTTTGTTAGAGGTTGTAATTTAACCATAGATGATAGTCTGGAAAAAGACATAGGCTACTTGATTTTTTTTTTAATTCATGGGTAGGAGTCGCGGGCGAAAGTAAGTGATTCCATAAAGACAATACATATTAAAGATATATTTTTTTATGATTACAGGAGAACATTGACACACTGGGCGAGGAGATCGCGAGGTTAAAAGCTGACAAACAAGCCGAGAACTGATGAAACAAATATAATTGTTATAATGTGTTAAAATACAATTTACTTAAATGTGTAAATACGTTAATACCAACAAATCCTATTAACACTATAGTATACACCAATGGCCTGAATTTGGTCCCCTTTCCCTTTCCGTCCTTTTCTTAAGAGGAAAGGATGGGAAGGAAAAGTGGATTTGACGGTAAAGGAGATGCATAGAAAGGGAAAATGTCCTCTTTATGTGCGTCTCCTCCTCTGTCAATGAAGGGTAGGCAACGCATCTGCAATTGCGGATGTTTATGTGCAGCGGTCGCTTTCCATTTCGGTGCATTCGGGTGGCCGCTTGCGAGTTTGCCACCTTATATTAAAAAAAAGATATAGTATACAGAAGTTGTGTATTCATATAATATTTGTATGAAAACTATATTAAAGGACTGTTTAAATAACCATTAAATTGTCAGTTTTTGGAACACGCAGTAAAAACTAGTAAAATTAAAAATACCCTCTTTACATCATAATTGTCATTGTTGCATCAGTCGTCAGCAAGTGCAGACGTGTACTACGTTATTGTAAATAATATCTCGTTGGTCTCTTATTCTTAGTCTTTAAATCATGAAAAATTTATGCATTATTTAAAATTATATACTTTATTTTATGAACAAATCGAATAATTACATATATAAAAAGCGCATTTATGGCTTCTGTCCACTCCAATACAATCAGTATTTTATGGTAAAAAGTTATTATAAAATCTTATATTAAATATATAAAAGTTGTTTCAGATCAAGAACAAAACTTTGTAAAGAAAAGATAAATAAACTCTGGAATTCGAAATTTCTAAAATATTGCAAAGATTGTCATATGTTTCATTATATTAAAGCATAGAACTAGTTTTAGCCCGCGACTTCGTCAGGACAAAATTTAGCACTAAATTAGTATCCTATTTCTTTCAGGGCTCATTGAAGAATTTTTATTCCGTAGTAAAATATTTATATTTTACCACAAAATTACTTTTGTTTACAAAGTTTTGGCTCTGGTTATATACGATATTGATTGTAATGCAAATGTATTGATGTACTATTGTTTAAAAAATATAATCAGACATGTTGACACTTGTATACATATTGTGTCCGTAGAAAGAAGTATACAAGTGTCACTTTAGTTGAAACCACATGTATGCAAGTGTCACTTTAGATGAAACAATATGTATGCAAGTGTCACTTTAGTTGAAACAATATGTATGCAAGTGTCACTTTAGTTGAAACAATATGTATACAAGTGTCACTTTACTTGAAACAATATGTATGCAAGTGTCACTTTAGTTGAAACTATATGTATACAAGTGTCACTTTAGTTGAAACAATATGTATACAAGTGTCACTTTAGTTGAAACTATATGTATACAAGTGTCACTTTAGTTGAAACTATATGTATACAAGTGTCACTTTAGTTGAAACTATATGTATACAAGTGTCAGTTTAGTTGAAACAATATGTTTGCAGGTGTCACTTTAGTTGAAACAATATGTATACAACTGTCACTTTAGTTGAAACAATATGTATGCAAGTGTCGCTTTAGTTGAAACTATATGTGTGCAAGTGTCACTTTAGTTGAAACAATATGTATACAAGTGTCACTTTAGTTGAAACAATATTAATACAAGTGTCACTGCACACTACGATGACATATGGCATAAGGCATATGTTTCTGTACTCTTACGCCAATGGAAACCGAATATAAATAAATTTAAAACATGTTAAAATTTTAAAATATATTTAAAATGTTTTTCGTAATAATAAACCTCTGTACCTTATACGTTTAAGATAGATATCTGTATATTAAATTGTTAATTTGTAATATTATAAAGGACATATGAGTGATGTTAATAAATGTATTGAGCCATTATTTTTTTATATATCAATAAGGTTGGCATACACGATCTTTTCTTAATTTATGTACGGTATAGGGACTGAAAAGTTCGTTTATGGTGAGCTTTAATTTCTATAACATTTGTAGTTTTAAAGGTCTTATAACTAGTTTAAAAAAAAGAGTATTTAATTTTAACGCTATGTTATTTCGAGTTTATAAATATGACATATTTTATAAAAATAGGTTTGTTTAAGATATATTTTACAACCAAAGACAATTAAAAAAAATATAGACGAGGCAATGAACTTTAAGCAAACTATGCCTCCTCTAAATTTTTTTTATTCTCTTTACAACAGAATGAGAATAAATCGTTAAAAAAAATTACCCTTCCACCAGTCAGGTAATTAAAATTAAGAAAAGACATATTTACATATATAAAATCCTAAATATACTGTTATCTTCCTTTTAACACCATCATTGGTTTCTCTATTCTGAACGCTTCGACCAGCTCCTGAAAGAATTACTATATTAGTTAAAAAAAAATGTTATTTTGTACATACAGTGCTGACCCGGTGTAAGTGTATAAAACACTAGTTTTTGCACGCAACTTCGTCCACGTGGAATTTAAAATATTAAAAATTATTTAAAATATTAAATATTTTAAAAGTATAGTCTATGTTAGTCACTGATAACGTAGCTTTTAAATAGTGAAATAATTTTTAAAATAAGCCTAGTAATTTTTGAGTTATTTCAATACATACAACAATCAAAAAATACATTTTTTTCCTCTTGATAACATTTGTATAGATGACCTATAGACCAAAGAAAGAGTTTGTTACAAAATAATACATTTTACCATTACCTTTGTAAATACATACAAAATTTACACCAACAAAGGACTTCTATAGACCTTTTCCTCTTTGCTACGGATTAGGTATTTATCATACTAATATTATAAACGCAAAAGTTTAGATAGATGTTTATAAGAATTTGTAGCCTAAACTACTGAACGGTATTCAATTAAATTTGACCCATGAAAGAGCACATAGGTCATTTTTTTTAATTTCTCGGACAAAGTCGCAGACAAAAGTTACTAAAATAATGCAGTGTAATATATTACCTTCCACATGTCCATATCAATAGAGACAACGAACTGGTTAGCTGCCGCGCCGCGGTCTCGCTCGTCAGCTGACACAGTCTTTATAAACGGCAATCCTATCTCCTCATCTAAATAAAAAAATGTTATTTTTTAAGTATCTCTTACAACTTCAATGTGGAATAAAAAATTAGCCCATATCTCTCCCCTATACATCAGCTACCTTCAAGAAAAGTCCCGTCAAAATCGGTCCACTAATTCCGGAGATTATCGGGAACAAACGGACAGACAAAAAAAAATGGATTTTCGTTATAAGCAACGCGAATATATACAGTAGAATCTCGATAACTCAAACTTCGGTAACTTAACCTCTATAACTTCAAAAAATTATATGTTCCCTTCCTATCAGAGCCCAAAACCTCTACAATAGACCCTTGATAACTTAAAACCTCTATAACTTAAAATATTTTGTGTTTCTTGGACTTTAACTTATCGAGTTTCTACTATATTTGTTATTTACAAACACACCTATTTTACAATATGTATAAAAAAAAATTAATTTGTTTTAACAAAAAAAAATTCACTGTATTTACTACCGGTAATCTTTAAAACGGGTGGACCGATTTTAAAGAGACTTTTACTGGAAGGCAACTTAATAAGAGTGAAATAGGATATATTTTCATAATAAATACGCGATTCACACTTCATTACTACAGTTGGACAGTCGAGCATGCTATGTATGGATTGTGACGTCACTGACACCAATTCACTAATCCAGTCAAGTGCCAGGCCAGTGATTGATACTGTACTGGCCAAGTGTTAACTGCGACAAAGACAACCGCTAGTCTGTTTTTTTTGTTCATTCCTGCTGCTTTATTCTTTTGCAGCAACTTTGTTGCCTTTATCACGTTTTTTTTTATTCTTTATGGTTTACTTTTTTTACAGCTAGCATGTTTTTTTTTTATGGGCGGCTCTATGCCACCCTCTCGTTCCCCTAGCATATTTTTGGGATAGGGACGTTAGGTGCGGGTAGAACGTTTATTTCTTTATTTCTACTTGCCTAATAAACTAAAGTTACTAAAATGACTAGAAAATATTACTAAAAACCGCTAGACTATTACAAAGTTTACCTATATCGATAGTAATGATGCCGTCTCTAGCGAGGAAAGAGACGTAGTATATGTTCTCTACAGTGCGCGCGAAGCTGCTCGGATGCAGCACAGCACGCCAGTAACACAGTGGTGCGCCGCGGCACGCCTTGCTCACGAACTTCTGAGCGCGTCCTATCATCTCACTGCCCTCCTCTGTGCGTTCCAGTCTATTACAATAAAAACTGTTTTTATAGCATAAGGTGGCAATCGAGAGACCACCTAATATTAGTCATTATACTTTCCCACCATTTTATACGAAAAGGATGAGAAGGGAAAGTTCATTTGAAGGTACAGACGCATAGGAATGGAAAATCTTTATGTTTTCCTTTGTTGATTGAGAGTAGGCAACGCTTCTGAAATTACGGATGGACAGCGATCGCTTCGCTCTCTCGGCCAATTCAGGTGGCCGCTAGTTTGCCACCTTATAATATAAAAAAATCCGCTAAAGTGACTCCCTACGAAAATTGCAAATAAGTATGCTATCAAAAATCGATGGAGGAGAAGCGCATGGATATACCCTTCCTCGTCTCCATCGTTAAATCCACTTTCCCTTCCTATCATTTCCTTATAAGAGAAGTGGAAGGGAAAGGTAATAAAATGGATTTGACGAAAGAAAAGGGACGCGTATTCAGGGGAAATATCTTTTGTCTTTTAATTAAAAATAACAAATGCAAATGGAATCGTTCAGCACTTCGTTATGACGAATTCTGTCGGCCACTTGCTTGTTTACCACCTTAGAAAAAAAAAATGTTCACTATATCTAGTTTATATGTTTCTTAAATATCTGGTACCATGCATTATTTCTAGCTATTTGATTATGATTTACTTGTCTACAGTCTCTGGTGCTTTAAGTGCGGCAGCTTGTTGTCGTTCGATGCGTTTTCGCGGCGCCCGCACTCTTTGCTCCGGCGGCGCGGGCGCAAAGCTACCAAACAATGATGCTACGACAGGCACCTCGCGGGGGAACGTGAACTCCCAGAACTCTGGGTTCTCACGCTGGAATGGTTTTTAAATATTCTTACAGACTAACATTTTTAAAGCACAATTGACATAAAAAGGACATAAAAAAATCTAATTCCATGAACACACATAAACATGTGCCAGCAGCCAATGCGCCAATAGCCTATTGGTTTGGGGTACGGACTACGATCTTACGGTCGAGGGTTCGAATCCCGACATTCGACTATTGTCGTGAACCATATCCTAGCACAAGCCTAGAGCTTAGTTGGAATTGTAAGGGAAATATTAGTACTTATCAAAAATCTACTACTATTTAACAAAAAATGGTCCATAATCGAGCAATTGACTTAGCCCTCTAAGGATGCTGTTGATACTCTGTAGGTACTACCGAACCCTGCGTAAAAGAGAAGCCGTCAATTTGCGCAGTATGGCGTTAAAGCCGTCACTCCGCGTATGCGCAAACATCTCTGACGCACTGCAGTGTCGGGGGAGCCCCAACAGCATCCTAAGGCTCTTATTATATTGGACGCGGAGGGCGCTGATGAACCCACAGATAATATGTACTAGGAGCACACCTTTTACTAAACTGACCCACAGCTGTTTAGTCTCGCTTTACCTATGAGTATGGAGGTACATTACTCGAACTTTAGTGCAACTAAACAGTTGAAGGCTGCGAAACAATCGACAATCGTACAACTGTTGTGCGAGAGTTTAGTCAAAGGCCTAAATGTATACTATAGAAAGGGAAACGAATGACAAAATCAATTATAAAATGTACAATGAAGTTTGCTATAAACAATTATAATATTAACTAAGTTAATAATTACACTTTTTTGTGCAGGATTTTGAAGACGAAGATGAAGACAAATTTACATTTTGTTTGAAAGGAGTTAAAAAAAAAACTAGTAAAAAACTTAACCAATATCACTAAGTGATAATATAGCTTTCTTATGGTGAAAGAATTATTGTAAATCGCACAGTAATTTTTGAGTTTATTTGTTACATACAAAAACATCAATCTTTGCTGTTTTTTCAACTTTTCAATAACAGATGGCGCTGGAAATATATGTAAGGAGGTTTAAAAACTTACAATATGTTGTGCAAGCTGATGTTTATCATATGTGTTCATGTTACCGCTAACAGCCTCTGAGCAGCGCAGCGCATGGTCACTGCTCGCACACAGCACACGAGAATCTAAATAGTTCTCACCTGGAAATAATAATATTCCTAATATACATAATATGTTTTATACTCATTTTGATATTTATATAGATATAAATAAGTGAATAAGGACATTATTACTAATATTATAAATGCGTAAGTTTAGATGGATGGATGTTTGTTAGTTTGTAGCCTAAACTACCCAATATTTTATGAAATTTGTAGAGGATAGTTTTGAAGAATAAATAGGACTTTTATTGCCACAAAAAAACATCAACTTGCCCTTATCCCTTATGGATTATATATTATATATATAATCTTATATTGCCACAAAAACACTACAAATAAAATCATGCATACAGCAACCTTAGAGCTATTTAAAATAATTAGACAAGCTAAGCTAATGCAGAGATGGCATAGGCTATTTCTGTGCTAATTTTCAGCAGGCTTTTACATATAAGTATTTACAAGCAAGGTTTACTTAAGCTAGACATTAAAAATATAAATAGACAAAGAAATATAGAAATAACAATACATTTAGGTTACTATTTTGAATGACTAAGTAATTATTAAGAACTGTTTATGATTAAAAAGAATACTTATCTTTTTCGCAGATGGACTTGCAGGTAAAAGCTAACTAAACACAGCTCTTGTTTATTTTTTTATATTTCGATCAGTCATAGGTAATACTGTTCATGTTCTTCCCATTAACAAAATATTGCCATGAAGTTAAGTAATATTTAACTCAGTCAATTAAAGAGTTTTTAACAGACAACTACTTCTTTGCTTTAGGTGGCATAATAAGTAGCATATTATTATTAATTCATCTGCCAATATCACTGGAATCTTTCAACAAGCATGTATTCACTCTAATTAGATGTCCATGTTTATATATAAGGCAATATGAAGACAGATTTACATATTATTTGCATGAGCAATACATATAGTAACTAATATGATAGTTATTTCTTATTAAATCTACACTAAGGAGACATCTTAGCGATTATAGTAGCGGTTAGATAAATAATCAAAGTTACCAGGATGCTTGGCGCGCTCCTCAATGCCTCCAGTAGCCAAAAGGTTGTGAGCCTCACTGACCACTTCAGCTGTTCTTTCCATTTGTCGTACATTGTCACCGTCGTCCTCTATAAATTCAATAATTACCAAATTATGATATCAAATAATAATTTAGTAATTTTAACTACTCATATTGTAAAAAGTTATTACCTATAGTTGATAAATTTTCAAGTAATTCTCGATAGCGAAGTTTTCTTTCATAACTGTTGGTTCTCGACAGGTTAGAGCAATTCATTGAAGACATTTTATATCTTTTTAAGAGATTTTACGTCGAAATTCACACAAATTATGGTAAGATATATTATGTTTTGTTTTTTGTTTTGATTTCAATAATTTGAAAGATGAACGAATGGATGATGACATTTTATTGTGTTGCCAATTAATTGAGGAAATAGTGATGGGGTGACTGAAGGTGAATCGATTTTGTTTAAAGTTAGCCAAAGCTGGTGTAATTATTGCAAAATTATTTAATATAGTTAAAATTCAATAAATCACTTCTATTAAAAAATGGTTTAAGTGGAAAATGACACCCATATACGAATCAAAAAAGTAAAATAAATCAGAATATTACAGAATAGTTTTATCAAAAACTGAGAAACCCTTAAAATGCACATATGAAAATATTTTACTAATGAAATCCAATGATATCAATAGCTGATGACTTTTCAATTTGGTAATGATTTTTAAAATTGTATTCGTCATCATAATTGAAAACTAAACAATATGGTATTGCTTCCCATGGGGCATCATTAGCATCCCTAATTATATTTGTGACAATTGGTGATGGAGTGCGCGGCATTCAGTTGATACGTTTTTTTTATTACAATTTAGATATATTGTAGATAATCAATTACATATGATAAAAATGTACATAATAACTTAATGAAAATTATTATCCGTTAGCACTTCATCTTATAAGTCACTGTGCACCGATTATTATAATATAAGTGACGTTTGTTTTGATTTAGTGAGGTTATATTTTAATGTTGTAAAAAATATTATAGTGAATGTTTTTATAATGGATTCGGCACCAGCACAAGAAGTTACTGAGCTGCTCAGACAATGGGAAGATCAATTTTCGATGCCTAGTTACGACCCCATACCGACATTGACTAGGTGAGATGTTTATAGTGAAACGTCAAAAGTAGCACATTGTAAACTTTCGTAGCATGCTATTATATTGTAGCCGGTGTTATAATACAGCGTTTAAACTATGGAAAGTTACTAAATTAAAACAAAGGACGTCAATTAATAATGTTACGCACATTAAAAAAAAAAATTATAAGAAATATGTATCATTTTAAAGATTTCAACATTTTTTAATTTAAAAAGTTTGCAAAATTTAATTTTTATGTTTCACAATATTTTATAATATTGATTTTAACAAAAATAGGTACTTATACTTAACAAGTAACTTGATGGAAGTCATGAAATTAAAGTAATAAAAAAGTATAAGTGTAGATGGACCAATATTAGTAGTTAACTTCTAAACAGCTAAAAAATCTAGATAAAATTGGACACAGGATAGATTACTGTCTAAAAGGGTGTAGATTACCATTTTCTTATTTCAGATATTGTTGGGGTTTTTGGGGAGATTGATTTAAAAAAAATTAAACAAAGTGTATAACTTTTTTTTACTTTCGTTTGTCATGACATGCTTATACAGGATGGTTGACTATGGCATAGTCATCTTAACTTACACTAAACTGGGTTCCGATCCCCGCAGTGGGGACATATATCTGGTGATGAACCATTTAACAACACTGGTTATCTTTCAAACTCTTCATCCAAGATCTTATGGTACTTTGGTATTAATTCCGGCATCAAATATTGAAAAATCTCTTTTTATGCTACAGGATAGCAGAGATAATAGAAGCGGAAACAGAGAATTTTATGAAGAAAGATCCAGATCCTTTTGATGAACGACCACCGTCCCGCACAGACCCGGAGTGTGCACTGGGCCAGGCACTCAAAGTTATGTTTAAGAAAGACAATTTTATGACTAAGGTAAACTAGCATATTAAAAATTTTATAATCATATAATACTTTCATACTTATATTATAAATGCGAAAATTTAGATGGATGAATGTTTGTTAGAGTTTGTAGCCTAAACGGCTGAACGGATTTCAATTAAATTTGGCTTAGATGTAAAGGATACTCTGGAAGAATATATAAGCTACTCAGCGTTGTTTTTTTCACGCGGAAGAGTCGCGGGCGAAAGCTAGTTTGCAATAAAGTCTGAAAGTACTCATCCATATTACAAAGAAATACTTCTTTTAGTTCTTAACTTTAGATAAATTTTTTAACCCTTAAATACCTGAAGTTTCAAATTTATTACCGTTGTTAAAAATCACATTGTCCATCGACAATCGATTTTATTTTAATACTAGCTTTCGCCCGCGACTCCGTCCACGTCTATAAAAAAAAACAAAAGCGAGTAGCGTATGTGTTTATCCAGGCTATCCGATACATCTATGCCAAATTTCATCAAATTCTGTTCAGCCGTTTAGACTACAAACTCTAACAAACATCCATCCATCCATCTAAACTTTCGCATTTATGATATTAGTAAGAAGTAAGATTAGCCTGTACATGTTACCTTTGACTGATAATCTTCAAGTTAGAAAGCAAAAAGGAGCATATTATGAGAGTGTAAAAATGTTGTACAGATTTTTAACTATTTTACCCCATTAGTGAAAAACACTGTAAAGGGTATGTACTTATACATTTTGTAATTTGATTTTAAAATCAAAATTAAGGTTTAAATGGAATTTTCCAATCTCTTATTTTATGGGATAAAATTTAATTATATAGGGGACATTTATTTCCTATCCACTCTGGTCAATATCAATTCAAAAATCTGTCAAAGCAACATATATAAATTACAATTCTTAGAATTTAAATTAAAGAGAAAAGAATATTAAAGATTTTTGTGTGGTGTTGGGTTGTGGGAGCTCTCAATTTGGTTCATTCACAGACAAATCACCCAGTTGTCTCTTTTCCAAATACCAGCACATTTTAGGGTAGCATACCTTTCACAAAACTATCTCACATCACCAGCTCATTATACGTCCCCACTGAGGGGTTCAGAGCCTACCCTAATATGGGGTGACTAGGCCATAGTCAAACACGCTGGCCAAGTGCGGGTTGGTTGACTTCACACATATCTTTGAATTTCCTCGCCGATATGTGCAGGTTGCATCACGATGTTTTCCTTCACCCTAAGAACGTCGGGTAAATTATGTACATATGAAAATTCGAAAAAAACATTGGTACACGGCGGGATTCGAACCCAAGACCTGTAGATTACAAGGCAAGTGTTCAAACCACTGAGCCACCGACGCTCTCACTATCTCACAACTTTTGTGTGATTACCGAATGTTTTGCAGGCAATTTAACTGTTTAGTTACACAAGTAAAATCAAGTAGAGTGCGCACTCCATATTACGAACAGACTAAACAGTTGTCCGAAAGTCTAGTCACAGATGTAAACGCGCTTAGTTATTTTTAGGGAATTAAATTTTCTAATTCTATCTATTTCTTTTCCACAGCTAGTAAATGATTATGTGAGGGATACGTATTACTCGCGGCAGAACATAACTGGCAGGGACGTCTATAAACTGAATGTAGCCGCATGTCGACTCACCCTAGATCTAATGCCTGGGTTGGAAATGAGTGTGGTATTTCAGGTTAGTTTTAAATGCTTTTATACCGGTATTAAATCATAATCCATAGTATGTAGGTGATAGTTGAAAGATGGTCAGTACCTTAGAATAGTCAAACAAGGATATCTAATAGAGGTGTTGCTATCTGCTGTAATTGTTAGAAAATATTTAAAACTTACATAGGTATTAAAAATCAAAAGTAAAAATAAAATATCCTTCTATTGGCACTTATGGCCCCTAAGGCACTGACCAGTGTAAATGGACAGATAAGATTTCGTATTTTATTATAATTGTTTTACCTAATTTTAGTCCCTTTTCCATTCCACCCTTTTCTTAAGAGGAAAGGATGAGAAGGAAAAGTGGATTTGATGGTGGAGGAGATGCATGGGAAGGGGAAATGTCCTCTTTATGTGCATCTCCTCCTCCGTCAATGAAGGGTAGGCAACGCATCTGTAATAGCGGATGTCTATGGGCAGCGGTCGCTTTCGAATTCGGTGGATTCAGGTAGCCACTCGCTCATTTGCCCTATATATAATATAAGAAAAAAATACCTGTTTGATTTACGCCATTTTAACAGTTACAAATCCTAATAAACCTCATAATCTCTAATAATAATGATAGAATTAACCAACAAACAACAGGCACTTTAAAGTAACCTACCCATTTATACAGATCAGTGTCACAATGTCATATTTATTTGTCAGATAATCATTGGTTTGCACACTATTCAATACGGAAACTTTTCGCTTCACATATTAGTAGTAGTAACTATAAGTGTAATTCATCGATTTTAAATCAAATATATAAATGTAATTTTACTGAAGGACAATGAAGCATTAATACAGCGGCTAGTGAGTTGGGCCACCAAGTCCGCGGAGCCGCTACAATGCTACGCGACAGGTCTCGTCGCCGCCGCTATGGAAGTACAGGAAATTGCCACCAATTTTAGGTAACAAGCTTTTTCTGCAGAATTATCAAAAAAAAAATATATTGTCTATGTTTATGTTTCAATTGCAAATGACAAAAAAGGCCTTTGACATGAATAACAATTGCTGTTACCATGGCAACCATGCTTGCTTGTAGTTTTTGTCCTTTTCCACATGATGGTTTTTTCTATAAGTAAAATTTATAGCCTAAAGCGTATCGTAAGTGTGGGGATATTTATTAAAAAAATAATAATTTAAAAATATACTGTGATTGCGGACATCCTACATAACTATGTAGTGTTTTCACTTTATCATTTTAGTATAACTAGACTATGCATGTGAAAAACTAGGCTATATCACTGTCGTATATATTATCTACCTTCCAGGTAAAGTCCCATTAAAATCGGTCCACACGTTCTGGAGATTAAAGGGAACAAACACGGATTTGCAGTCAGACAGACAAAGAAATTAACTGATTTTGATATAATCCTAAATATGTTTTTTAATAGTACATAAAAATACTCCAATTTTATTAATAAAATATCTTAATAATATCTCTTTAAACAGAAAATAGGAATTTTCAATATGAAAATATTTTTTTTTTTATTAAAATAGTGTGTTATTTGTGTTCCAGGGACTTAAATGCAATGCTAGTGCCGTTGATGCTAAGGAGGCTACACGAATTAAGAAATAAAACACTAGAAGAAAAGGTAATTACAAATTATTAACTGCCACACTCACAGTTGCTAATTGTTCACTAAGCAACTCTGAGATAAAATACATCTAAAAGCATGTTAAGGTAAAAAAAAGTAGGAAAGAGCATTAAAAAACTCGCATATAGATTGACCAGAAATAATAATAATAATTTATTTAACTCATGTAACAGAATATTACACATATGATATTTACAAGAACAATACATATTATATTACATTACACACACACATATATAAAGAAACAGGAGAAACTAAAATTAAAACGATCTAGGGGACCCGATGCCGACTACGCGCATATGTTCGCGCCGCCAGTGCCCCATGATCGGGCAGTCGGGCTTCTCACACTCAGAAATGTTGCCATGTTGCAGAAAATCATGGAATTAAATTATTTATCTATTTACTTGGCCGGCGTAAAATTAAAACAATAAAAAACATAGCCTATGTCACTCACTGATAACGTAGCTTGAGTTATTTCAATAAATACAAAAATCCAAAATTAGAAATATAATATTAGTATACATTAGTCAAAAGCAGTTGAGTTCAGTTTCAACAAATCGTATTTTAATAGTTTTTTCTCAACGTAAAAATTTGAGAATTCCTATTTTAACTATTTTTAATGTATTCTGTATTCTTAAAAGTTATTTTTTAATCTGTGCTATTTATTTAAAACAACAATATGGTGGTTTTATCAATACTAATATAATAAAGAGGAAAACTTTCTATTTTTGTATGTATTGAAATACCCTGTGTTTACCCTTAATATATCGAATGTGCATTTTTTTATCTATGTCTATACTAATATTATGAAGAGGAAAACTTTGTATTTTTGTATGTATTGAAATAACTCAAAAACTACTGGGCCGATTTTAAAAATTCTTTCACCATCAGAAAGGTAATTTATCTGTGAGTAACATAGGCTATGTTTTATTATAACTAATGTTTAGGAACTATTAATAAACAGCGTGTTTCTGAACGCCGGCGTTAAAAATTCACTAAACTTTAACTTTTCTCGGCTTACGCTGCCTAAACCGTTAGAGGTATATAAAAATGATGATATGACATAATTGTATATATCAAAAAGTTCTACGGAAAAGTCCGCGATAGCATATTTCTATCTTTAACGGTTTTCTTACAATAACCACTATTTTGTTTTCAAAATGAATTAAAAGTTTCACGCTATTTGCAGTGTTCTTTTATTGGTTTCAATATTAATCCTTATCCAAATTAATGCGTTTGTTATCAGGAGAATTTAATGTAGAATAAAATTGTTCTTTACAGTATTTAAATTGGACTAATAGTTTAGAAGATATCGTGAACACAAACAATAAGGGTAATCGAAAAATCAGTTTACAAGCTACCGGACTTAGAAATTTTGAATCTTGCATTGGTAGATTTCTGTTATTACGTAGGTTACTACTAAGATAATACTTTTGGTAACAGGTTGAAAAAAGGGCGAACCTAATAGGTTATATTTGTAATTTCATGCGGGCGAAGTCGCGAGCAACAGCTAGTAAAATATATGGCAAGGAGTGGCTCGGGCTCAGTCGCCAACAAGCTCAGTGTTTTACTAGTCGTCACAACGGAACATTTGATATATTTTTGTCGTATTGGAGTTCAGTTTGTGTGTTTTAGAGTGATTTACAAGTATTGTTAATATGGCCGTCCGTCTATATTTTTAAGGAAGTCATTTGTGGAACTATCTAACACCTAGTTTATGTAAAATGTGCTCTATTTCGTTGACAGACGAATCAAAGTGCGGTGATGCCGCCGAACCAGACGCGTCACTTCGCCAGATTCGATAAGAAGAGGAATAACGATATTAAATGCAATGGACCACTCGTCGATAAAAAAGGTTCGTAAAGATTGTTACAAAACTAACATAAGCTAAAATAAAAAAAAACGGTTGACATTTTTATATTGGACGAGCAACGCCATCTATTGCCTGCATTTTTAAACTAAGATTTTAAAATTATTATTTATTATTATTATAATGTTATAAATGTGAAAGATTAGATGGATGGATGTTTGTTAGAGTTTGTAGCCTAAACGGCTGAACGGATTATGATTAAATTTGGTGTATATGTAGAGGATAGTCTGGAAGAACACATAGGCTACTCACTTTTTTTTAAAATCCACGGGAACGGAGTTGCGGGCTAAAGCTATAACAACTCTAATGTTATTTGTATACAATTTGTTATTTTAGATAATACTCGAAAACATCGAAAAAATAATTTAATATTTAAAATATAATAAAGATAATGGCAACATAGATTAGACCATTTTTACTAACTTTTTTTCTCACGTCCACTATTTTTTGTATTGATGCATTTAATTAAAATACCCGCTTTAACATCTTAGCAGTGCAGGGCCGGCACGCCCCCAGTAATACCACGACCACATAGAAGACAGCCGCGAAGTGGAAGCAATTCCGTGTTTCGTCTGATGAGTGTGGTGCCGGAGACCTAATTTGGGTCCCTTTCTCTTTACCACCATTTTCTTATAAGGAGAAGATGGGAAGGGGAAGTGGATTTGACGGTGGAGGAGATGCATAGGAAGTGGAAATATCCTCTTTATGTGCGTCTCCTCCGTCGGATAAGGTTAGGCAACGCATCAGCGATCGCAGATGTCTATGGGCAGCGGCTGCTTCGTCATTTTGGTGGATTCAGGTGGCCGCTAGCTCGTTTGCCACCTTATGTTATAAAAAAAAATACACCTGTGGGCTGATTTATCAATTTTGTGTATACATGTTTTCTATTTTCCTACGTAATTGTGAAATTAAACTATTGTGTATAATTATATAAATATATTTTTTTCAGATCGAGAGAAAGACGACGGCGGAGGGAGCGAGATGGTGATAGAAGAGACTCCTCCGCAAGCCAGCAAAGATCCTGAAACACCTGTTAAAAATTATAATTGTAAGTATTCAAGCTTCCTATGTAAACGATAATAACTCACAAATTTTGTACTTCTATACTAATATTATACCGAGGAAAGGTTTGTATTTTTTTTTGTTTTTATGTATTGAAAAAACTCTAAAAATAACTGGAACCGTTCCAAATATTCTTTCACCATTAAATATCTATGTTATCACTGAGTAACAGGCTTTATTTAGTACATTTTATTTCCGTGCAGACGAAGTCACGAGCAACAACTAGTTAACTGTAACTGTGATTTTATTTTTTAAAGTAATGAATGTTTGAATTTGCAGAGTTTTAGCTTTAAATTGATTTAGTCTCTTATTAAGTCTGGTTACAGTCTTATAGAGCTTTTTAAAAAAAGCTTACCAAAGTTCGGAAACTTTAGTCATGCAATCGGTTTTTAGTGTAAAATAGTAATTATTTTGTTGTAAAATTGTTTAAAATAGGCTTGTTATTGTTTAACACGTTTAACACATACTAGCATTCGCCCGCGACTCTGTCTGCGTGGAATTAAAAAAAAGCCAGTCAGGGCTGCAGACAGGAACCTCCTCACAATGCGTGCGGTTTCTAAGATACCTGCCTTTTTTAATATCAGTGACATTGTTATATTATTTAATTATTGTTTGTATTTACAGCTAGTATGCGTTCCCCGGAGCACTGCGCGCTGATGTCTCCGCCCGCGCGCCCGCCGCTGCCCGCGCCCCCGCAGCCGCCACTCCCGCATGACCCCTCGTCTAACTCCAGCTGGGCGGAGATGGAGACCTACGTTATTGGTCGGTATTAAAACAGCCACACTAACTTTTTAAATACACTTTATTACTATGAAAACCTACCTGTATAGATAAAAAATGTGATTAAGTACCGCAATGTAATCATTAAAAATTATCTTTTTTCAAATTCCCTCGCTAAGTTCTAAAACGCACACTATTGGTCGAAGCGAGTGGCTTATCTAATATGGCGGCGCTGTGTTGACAATACACAGTTCATTTACGTTAGTTTATGTAGAAATACACTCTTGAAGTATTTTACTGTAAACACGATTTCAAAACCAACTTTAAATTAAAAATAAATGAAAAGAATCATTAATTACAACTTATTTGTACTTGGAATAATGAAAATGAATCGATTTTTTACTTTTGATAAATCTGAGAACCAATTATACACTTTAAAAAATTACTTTACAGGTATGTTTTTATAGTAATAAAGAATATAATAAAAAAAATTGTCTAATTTGGCGTCATATATTGCCTATTGTTACCCAATGGCTTTCGTTGTCATTTGTGCATTTGAATCATGATATTTGCAAATAAAAGTTTTACGGGTTGTAAACAATAAAATAAAGTTTTTTATTGTATGAAGCCGTACGGAAATGGCTAGTTTATTCGTTTATGTCGGCGGCTCGGTGGTTTAAACACTTGACTTGTAATCTACAGGTCTTGGGTTCGAATTCCCCCGTACCAATGTGGTTTTCGATTTTTCTAATTTTCATATGTACATAATTTACCCGACGTTCTTACGGTGAAGGAAAACATCGTAAGGAAACCTGCACATATCGAAGAAATTCAAAGATATGTGTGAAGTCAACCAACCCGCACTTGGCCATCGTGGTTGACTATGGTGTAGTCATCCTAACTTAGAGTAGGCTCCGAGCCCCTCTGGTACATATAGTAAGCTGGTAATGATTCGTGTTTATTGTAATGTTTCAGGTAACATACAAATCCATCCGCCGACAGACGCAACCAAACAGATGTTGATTCTGCGATATCTCACGCCAATGGGGGAGTATCAGGAGGTAATTATTATTAAACTCAAAGAAATTTTCCTATTTACATTACTTTACTAATATTATAAATGCGAAAGTTTAGATGGATGGATGTTTGTTAGAGTTTGTAGCCTAAACAGCTGAACGGATTTCGATGAAATTTGGTAGAAATGTAGAGAATAGTCCGGATGAAAACATAGGCTACTCACTTTTGTTTTTTTTTAATTCCACGCGGACGGAGTCGCGGGCGAAAGCTAGTATATTATAAACACTAGTTGTCCCCGTGCGGCTTCACCCGTATGGAATTATAAAAACTTTATTTTATTGTTTACATTTGTCAAATTCTCAAATGCATAAACAGTAATGTATGTTTGCTTACAGTTCCTGTCGCACGTGTTCGAGCAGAACGCGCTGGGTCTGATCCTGGGATACCTGAACGTACGCGAGTCGCGCGACTCTCGTCTCGCCTTCGAAGCGTTGAAATACCTCGCAGCACTCCTCTGTCATAAGAAATTCTCTATAGATTTCATTAATATGGGCGGCTTGCAGGTACGAAAATGAAGTGTGGTGGTTTTATTTCAAACTTATTAGTTACAACCCCACCGAGGGGCTCGGAGCCTACCCTAAAGTTAGGGTGATTAAGCCTTAGTCAACCACGATGGCCAAGTGCGGGTTGGTTGACTTCACACATATCTTTGAATTTCTTCGATATGTGCAGGTTTCCTTACTATGTTTTCCTTCACCGTAAGAACGTCGGGTAAATTATGTACGTATAAAATTCCAAAAATCGAAAAATCACATTGGTACAGCGGGCTTGGAATCCAAGACCAAAAGAAATAAACAGTGAGAAAAGACATGGCATATATAACTTGTAATTAGCCTTCAGTTTTTGTTTTGTAATTTAGCTGTAAGTTGTCCATAAATGAAATATAAACAGAAGTGTATATTTGTAGAAGTTTCTGGAAGTCCCTCGTCCGTCAGTGGCGGCGACCGGCGTGTCTATCTGCCTGTACTACTTGGCGTACTGCGAGGACGCGATGGAGCGCGTCTGCCTGCTGCCGCGCGCCACCCTCGCCGACCTCGTACAGTCAGTCATCTATCTCTCACACTTATAGTAAACCCTCCCTATAACGTCATTTCCGTAACTCTATATAACGACGAAATTAACTCTCTATAACACGAATCTTACCAACTAATTTTAAAGGAATTCTCCTATAACGCAATTTTTGTTCCTGTCTATATCAAGGTGTTAGAAACCGCGTTATAGGAGGGGTTTATTGTATAATAGTGTACACACACTACTATTTATACTAATGTTATAAAGGAGGAAGATTTGATTTTTTTTTATATTTTTGTTAGAATTGGAATAACTCAAAAACTACTGGGCCAATTTTAAAAATTCTTTCACCGTTAGAATTTATCTGTGTTTAACATAGGCTATGATTTTTTCTAATGTAAGATGTCAGCAATCGCATCATATTTTTGTATTCTCTTTTTTAATAAAATCTCCTACACCTACATGGCATAGACTATATATTGTAACATTTCAATTTAAACTGCACTGCAAGTAAAGACAAAACAAGTAAATGAATAATATTTTATTGTTTTTTTTAGATACGCGTTATGGCTACTGGAATGTTCTCACGACTCAGGGCGGTGTCACGCGACCATGTTCTTCGGCCTTTCCTTTCAATTTAGAGTTATTTTGGAGGAATTTGATAACCAGGTTTGTGATTTAAATCAATACTACATTGAATCTCAGAAAACTTTGATTTTAGAAATTTCGTGTTTTAATCTATACTATTATAATAAAGCGTAAACACACTTCTTTGTTGCCTAAGATGTCAGCAATTACAGCATATTTTTGAATAATTCTTTTTTTAATAAAAAGCCCTATGCTTACGTCACGGTTTAGGCTACATATTTTCACGCTCTTAAACTTAGGGGGTAAATGAATTGGAAAAAAAACCCAATGTGGGAAAGAGACCATATGCTGCTGCCAACATCAAGGAAGCAAGATTGCCATAGGTAATTGGTATTTTGATATTGTAAACAAGAAAATAAAGTTTTTATAATTTCATGCATTCAAATCATACTTCATACTAATATTATAAATGCGAAAGTTTAGATGGATGGATGGATGTATCGTTTGTTAGCGTTTGTAGCCTAAACGGTTGAACGGATCTCCATGAAATTAGGCACAGGTTTAGAGCATAGTCTGGAAGAACACATAGGCTACTTTTAATCACGGAAATAGCTACGGTTCCCGTGGGATTCATTAATTTAGTTTTTTTAATGTTTACTCGATCATTCTGCAACGGTTCAACATATCTTATTGAAATTTGGCACAGATATAAAACAAAGTCTGTAGTACACATGGGATAAGGTTGATCCCGGGATTGATTCCCGAGGGATACGTAGCTTCTTCTTATTTATATAGTGTTTTCTAATACCACGCGGACGAAGTCGCGGGCAACAGCTATAATTAAAATTGTGTTATGTATTAGGATGGTCTACGTAAGCTGTACAACTTGATATCGACGCTGCCGATACTGGGCTCGGACGAGGAGGAGTCCCGCGTCACCGAGGACGAGACTTGCGCCGCCAGGCAGATAGTGCGCCACGTCTGCGTCGCACTTAGAAGGTTAAACATATCTTATTAATATTATCATAAATATTAGAAGATTTAGATGGATGGATGGATGTTTGTTAAAGTTTGTAGTCTAACCGGTTAAATGGATTTCGATAAAATATATGTAGATAGTCTGGAAGATCTCTAGGCTACTCACTTTTGTTTTTTTTTAATTCCTCGCGGACGGAGGCGCAGGCAAAAGCTAGTTAATGTTATAAATGCAAAAGTTTAGATGGATGGATGTTTGTTAGAGTTTGTAGCCTAAACGACTGAACGGATCTCGATAAAATTTGGCATAGACAAAGAGTGTAGGCTACTTTTGTTGTATTTAATTCTACGCGAACGGAGTCGCAGGTGAAAGCTAGTTCAAATATGTTGTTGAGATAATCAGTACTGCGGTAGATTGTCGCAATAAGATTAATATTAATTCGTTTATTTTTGTTACCAAATTTTGCCAGTTAAGTGTGCAATGTCCCACAATTTCATTTGGAGTAAGAATTTGTCAATCTATGATATATAGTTCTTATTTGTTACCATGGAATTAGTTACCTAACAATCATCATCATCATCCACTTGCCCTTATCCCTTTCGGAGGGTCGGCACAGTATGTGCTGCTCTTCCATACATCTCTATCAGCCGTCATATCTGAATCCACTCCTTTCTTAAGCATATCTTTCACAACATCCATACTTTCTTCGGCCTTCCTCTTCCTTTGTAGCCATTCACATTCAATCTTAACACTTTCTGGTTTATGTCCCCATCGTCTCGTCGCAAAACATGTCCATACCACGCTACCCTTTTGCTTCTCAATTTCTCCACCACTGGCGCTACTTTCAAACTTCCTCGAATGTACACACTCTTAACTTTATCCATTCTTGTCACACCACACATCCATCTTAACATACGCATCTCAGCCACATGCAATCTCCTTTCATCCGCAACTTTGGCGGCCCAACATTCAGATCCATACAATACGACAGGTCTTCTGATGGACTTGTAGATCTGTCCCTTAAGTTACCTAACAATCAATAACTTTATTATCAAGGAATTGTAAATAAAAAAAACAGACTAAGTTAAAGTATTTTTTGCATAGTATAGATTTTTTACATATTTATATGTTTACAGGTATTTAGAAGCACATTTAAGATTACGAGCAGCGCAAGTCGCGAGACAGCAAGGCGACAATGTACCAGAACCGCCGCCGTATAAGGTATATGTCATTTCAAATATGTTGTCGGCTCAAAATACTACACGCGTTTCTATACGCCTTAACTTCACCATCTACGTCACTAGTGTTATGTTCCGTGCCGTTGTGATATTTGAAAAATATGAACTTGTTGTTTACTGTGACTTCGTCAGCGCAGTATTAAAAAAATACCAAAAACGAAAAAACTACGTATCCCTCGAGAGCCTGACATTTTTGGTGGATGAATGTTTTCACATGTAATTTCAATAAGAAATGTTGAAACGTTGCTGTTATTAAGTAAACATGAAATAACGCAATTATCCAACGGTTACAGTAACTATATCCGGGATCAAAAGTATCCTATGTATTCTACCAGATTATCTGAATCTATGCCAAATTTCATCAAAATAAACTAACAAACATCCCTAAAGTTTCGCATTTACAATATAAGTATGATTAATGGCCGGTCTCCCAGCAACGTTTAACCATTCGTTAATATTTTTGGTTATAAATTCATGAAATGCGTTTCAGAACTACGTAACTTGAGTTTTACTCTGTTGAAACATAGGTCAACTTAACACTAATTATACAAAATAAGTGTAAACTTCAGAAACCCATTGTAAGATGTTTAAAAAGACTTGAAATAAATGTAACCGCATTGTTATGTTCCAGGCATCGAAGTGCTCCCCCGAGGAGATCCAGGAGCAGATCGAGCTGCTGCAGAGCGTGGCGTGGTCGCGCTGGGCGCCGGTGGACGAGCTGCTGGAGCTGGGCGGAGTCGCGCTGCTGCTGCAGGTCGTCGGATACGCCTACGAGTGGAACTTTAACGGCAGGTATTGTTGCTTGCGATACAAGCGAGTTGCCACTCTGCTACAACACTCTAATAACAGATATGTCACTTCGACTCGTAAGGTTCATGTTTTAATTATGGTAGGAGACTGACTGTTTGTGGTAGGAGACTGACTTGCATTGTGGTAGAAGACTGAGTTTTATTGTGGTAGGAGACTGACTTGCATTGTGGTAGAAGACTGAGTTTTATTGTGGTAGGAGACTGACTTGCATTGTGGTAGGAGACTGACTTGCATTGTGGTAGAAGACTGAGTTTTATTGTGGTAGGAGACTGACTTTTATTGTGGTAAGGGATTGATTTGTATTGTGGTAGGAAACTGATTTAGAGCGTTGTAAGATACTGACTTTGGTAGTTGTAGGAGATCGACTTGGACTGGGGAAGACAGTCCGTCTTTGACTCTTTGATATTGGTAAAAGACGACTAACTTGGTCTGTAGAAAAGCACTGATCTGATTGTAGTGGGACACAGCTTTGATTGTGGTAGGAGACTGATTTGAACTTTGGACAGAACCTGACTTCAATGGAGATACGAAACCAATTTGGAATGTGGTATTATGTGGTGATTGTGCAAAGAAACTGACTTTGATTGTGGTCGGAGACCGACTTGGAATGTGGTAGGAAACTAATTTGGACTGTGGAAACTGACTTTAATTGCGGTCGGAGATCGACTTGGAATGTGGTAGGAGAGCGACTTAGGCTGTCGTAGGAGACTGACTTTGTGGTAGGAGACCGACTTGGAATGTGGTAGGAGAGCGACTTAGGCTGTCGTAGGAGACTGACTTTGTGGTAGGAGACCGACTTGGAATGTGGTAGGAGACTGACTTGGGCTGTGATAGGAGACCGACTTAGGCTGAGGTAGGAGACCGATTTGGAGTGTATGAGATTTGTATGAGATCCATAACGACAGTGTGTATGCGCAGGGCGGAGACGGTGCGGTCGGCGCTGGACGTGATCTCCGTGTGCTGTGTGGCGCCGCGCGTGCAGCTGCTGCTCACCGACAAGATAGACATGAGAGATGCTGACCTCACCACTGGAGTTAATATCGTACTAGGTATTATACTATTCATATATCTTGTCGACTCCGCAAGCAGGTATAGTTAACGCAGTTTTAGCTGTAGGATGCAGAAGGGAATTACGCAATGCAAAGTTGACCTTGGGATACCATTGACGGGATTTATCACGAAATTATAGAAAACAGACATTTTAAAAACATTCAAAAATTGGATTCGAGTAATTTCTATCTGGTAGTTAAATAACTTGTCGGGTCAGAATGTCGTGGAATTTAAAACAATTTGGAATTTGATACAGCTCGGTACAGATCTGACTTGAGCAGACAAGATATTTGAAAAGATGTATGCAAAAAATCCGTGTTGTTCAGGTGTAAAGCATTAATTTTAATTTACGATTATTTTAGGGATATTTTACACTAAAACCCTTTTTGGCTGTCTTTATTTCGAAGATTTTACAATTTTACTCTAATAAAGATAAAAAATAATGTTTTTTTTTACAAGATTTGTTCATTATTTGTTATATGTTACAGGTGCTGCTGATGGTGAGATAGTGCCCGACCCAGAAGTGCAAAAAGCCGCTCTCAATGTATTAGTTAACTGCGTCTGCGCACCTGTACATAGGGTTAGTAGATTATAGTAAATTTTACATATAGTTAAAATTCCCCTAAGATTTATCGGTTATAAAAATTTTAGTTGTTATTAACGTATGTTGACGTAACGTTAATGTTACTTCTTACTAATAGTATACAGTAGTATCTCGATAACTCAAACCTCGGAAACTTAAAAACCTCTATAACTTAAAATATTTTGTGGTTCCCTTGGACTTTAACTTATCGAGGTTCTACTGTAAATGCGAAAGTTTAGATGGACGGATGGATGGATGTTCGTTAGACTTTGTAGCCTAAACGGATCTAGATGAAATTTGGCATAGATGTAGAGTATAGTCTGGAAGAACACATAGGCGCATTAATTCCACGCTGACTGAGTCGCGGGCGATTTCTAGTAATTAATAATTAAAAAAAAACAAATTAGAATCTGTAAATTTCATAATTTATATCAAATATAAGTATTTCTTGGCTATAAAAATGTAAAATATTGTATAATATTGTAATTTCAAAAGTTTAGATGGATGGATGGATGTTTATTAGAGTTTGTAGCCTAAACGGTTGTTCGCATTTCGACGAAATTTGGTATAGATGTAGCGGATAGTCTGGAAGAACACATAGACTACTCACTTTTGTTTTTTTTTATTCCACGCGGACGGAGTCGCGGGCGAAAGCTAGTATTGTATAATCCTTACCATGCTTAGTTCATATTTGGAAATTATGTTTTACTTAAATAATGAATATTTGTTTGTATAATTTGTTAGAAATATTTGTAAGGAAATGTTTCTTTTTTTTAATAACCGTTTTTTCCTCAGGCCGGTACATCGACGACTCGTTTCTCAATCACCGGTTCCAGTAAGAAGAAGACCGCGCTCAAGTCATACGAAGATCTCATACAGAAGGTGTGGGAGAGCGTGCGGACCAACAACGGCATCATGGTAATGTCTCTGTCTCTTTCAAACTACATCACCTTTGTATATGTCTATCTCTGTCCCCCCTTTCATATGCTTCATGCGTATTTTTCAGTCTCACTACCAATCTTTACTAAAATGCTAATAACCTGTACTAATATGATAATGAGGGAAGATTTGTATTTTCTGATTTTTGTATGTATTGAAATAACTCAAAAACTATTCAGTCGATTTCTGAGATTCTTTTACTATAAAAAGCTATGTTATCAGTGTTAGCTATGGTATCAGTTGGCTGAATTTTTATTATTTCAATTTCAGGCAAATAAAGTTGCGAGCAATATTTAGTTTTGATTAAAATTGATAATAGCGCCATCTATTTATAAGTTTTTGATAGACCTTGTTATTACACATAAAATAGCTGCTATTCTTTTTTAATTATATAGTTAGAAATAAGTAAGTCGTATTACAAATGTTATATCAGTCTCTAATGTTACACGGTGTAACGTTACAGGTGTTACTATCTCTGATGCTGGTGAAGGCGCCGATCACGGACGCGGACAGACTGCGCGGGCTGGCGTGCCGCGCGCTCGCTGGCCTCGCGCGCTGTCCTACCGTCAGACAGATCATCTCCAAGCTGCCGCTCTTCACTACCTCGCAGATACAGTGTTAGTACTCACTCATTCACTAACTCTCCTTCACACAAACTAGCTCATTCCCTAACTCTACGTCACTAATTAGCTAACTCGTGAACTCGCTCACACACTCTCGCTCAATGACTTGCTCATACCTTAACAAGTTCTCTCACTCACTCATTCGCTCACGGGTTTGCTCATCTACTCTAACAAATTCTCTTACTTACTCTAATTCGCTTACTGGCTTGTTTATCCACTTTAACAAGTTCTCTCACTCACTCTAACTCTCTCACTGACTTGTTCACTCACTTTAACACGCTCACTGGCTTGCTCATTTACTATAACAAGTCTCTCACTCACTGGCTTGTTCATCTACTCTAACAAGCTCTCTCACTTACTCTAACTCCCCAACTTACTCTAAATAGCTTATCCAGTTGTACTAACTTGGTTATTTACTGAGTCACCCATTCAGTGGCTTTCCAGGCGCCATCTACTGTAAATGTTTAGTTTATGAAGTTATGTGTCGCGCAGCGCTGATGCGGGACCCGATCCTGCAGGAGAAGCGACAGGAGCACGTGATGTTCCAGAAGTACGCGCTCGAACTGCTGGAGCGAGTGTCCGGGAAGAGCAAGCACATGGGCGCGGAGTTCGAGACATCGCTCGCTAATATACACAGGGTGAGTACACTTTACACAAACTGAGTGTTATTTTCACGTTATTACACAATTCGAGTGAGAGATACGAGACATATTGTACTTACAGTGACGGAAATGCGTTATAGGCCACTTTAAGGAAAATTGCCTTGTTTATTGCAACGAGACAAAGCCCTACTCTTCCTACAAATAACAAATTAGACAGCAGTGAGTGGTGCAAACGAAGGAATAGTAAATGAGGGGAAGGAGGAGTGTGTGACATATAACAAATGTATAAAAGTCGAATAATAGGTTATCTACATTTGTACAAATATGGTATATGTTGAAATAACCCAAAAATTACAAGGTCGATTTCAAAAATTCTTTCCCCGTCAAAAAACTACGTTATCTCTGAATAACAGGCATTTTTTTAAATTACGCGGCAGAAGTCGCGAGCAACAGCTAGTATTGAATAACTACTAAAATCTACTAATTATAATGAATACATTGTGTTACAGGCGAACGTGGTAGCGCAGACTCGTATCAACTACAACGAGCGGCAGCTGCTGCAGCTCGTGGCGGCTCACCTGGCGGCGCGCGGGCTGCGGGACAGCGCAACTGCGCTGCAGCGCGAGGCGCGCCTGCCGCCGCCCGCAGCTGCTGCGCCCGCGCCGCCCCCGCCGCCCGTCTACACACCCTCCACACCGGTCAGGGTTAGTACACCATAGAATCACATTTAAAATATGGAGGAGCCAAATTCTCAAATAGTACTCGACATATTGAGATCTAAAAACATTGTTTAAAATGTAACCTACATATATAATAATATAAATAAAGAGAGATTAGTATTTTTGTATGTATTGAAATAACTCTAAAACTGCTAGGTCGAATTAAAAAAAATCTTTTACCATTAAAGGGCTACTTTTTCATTGTACTCAGCAGTGTTATTACATAGGCCGTTTTTTTACTATTTATATTTCCCGCGAACGAAGTCGCGAGCAACATCTAGTCTATACTAATATTAAAGAGGAAAGATTTGTATTTTTCGATTTTTGTATGTATTCAATTCACGTAAAAACTAATGGGCCGATTTTAAAAATTCTTTCACCACTAGAAAGGTAATTTATCTGTGTGTAACATAGGTTATATGGCTCACATTTTTTTACATGTTTTAATTCCACGCGGGCGAAGTCGCGAGCAACATTATTATTTGCATTGCGTCCCCAGGCTCGTCTGTCAGTGTCCCGGTCCAGCAGCGTGGGGAGTGTGGGCACGCTGCACCGCGACAGCTTGGACCACAATCACATGCACGTGGACGGTGACAGCCCTCTGCCGCCTGTCATCAAACTCAGGTAACTTATCGTCCCGGGAAGGGGAGGGGATTATGTAGGATAGGGTAAATTATTCATGTTTTCGACGGATTTGTAAGTTTAAGAGTAGCCCCAGTGGTCGAGAAATTAAGGAGAAAAGGGTTAGCATGGTATGGGCATGTTATGAGGAGGAATGAATCGCATGTAACAAGGAAGTTAGTTATGAGTGTGGAGGTACACCGGTAGAGATAGACATAGAAAGAGATGGATGGATTGCGTAAAAGGTGACATGAAAGAAGGGAGTGACAGATGACGTATGATAGAGTTATGTGGAGGACGAAAACCTACAAACTACGGGAGTAAGGTAAGGAGGAAGATGATGATATCTTTTACGTCATACGTTACGACCTCTACCACTATCACAAGCAGTTTTAACACAATATTCAACTCTATTATTATAACAGGAAGGTTCAAAACAGTCCAGCAAGCCACCAATCAGAACACAAGCGGTCGCTGCAGAAGCAGCTGAGTGCGGCCGGGGAGCGCGCGCTGTCCCCCCCGCGGGTCACACTGCACTCCATCATCACGGAGTACTTGTACAACCAGCACGCACTCTGCAAGAACCCAGTGGTCACCTGCCCGCAGTTCAACTTGTTTGAGTAAGACCTATTGATGTCTCTTTCACTCCCACTTGATTAGACAGAGATAGGTGAGACATTTGAAACACAGTTCTACAGTTGATTTGATGATTGCTCTAACTTGTGCGTATTTGTAGAGACGTTATTTTTCTATACTTCTATACTATTATAATAAAGCGTAAACACACACTTCTTTGTTGCCTAAGATGTCAGCAATTACACCATATTTTTAAATAATTTTTTTTACAACAAAAAGCCCTACACTTATGTCACGCTTTAGGCTATATATTTTCACGCCATTATACTTAGACGGTAAATATTTTGGATAAGAACCCTAATGTGGAAAAGAGACCATAAGTTGCTGCCAACATCAAGGAACTAAGATTGCCAAGGTTTGTCATGTCATGTCATTTTGACATTTGCTATTGATAGTTTGACACATGTAAACAATAAAATAAAATACTCATAATTTCATGCGGGTGAAGCCGCATAGAGAGAGGATATTCCTTCTTACTATGTGTACTCTCCCCTGCCAAGGAAGAAAATTATGGGAAGGGGAAGAGTATTAAAATTTACACTGTATTGCATTGATTGTAACATACTAGCTTTAGCATGCGTTACAGTATTAAAAACAAAAATAAGTAGCTTTTATGTGTTCTCTATACTTGTGCCAAATTTTATTAAAATCTGATAAGCCGTTTGAAACCTTTATAACTATCCCTTCAAACTTCAAAAAAGAACCTCAAAGGCCAGCAACATTTGTAGTTCCTCTAGTTTTATCGATGTTCCCACTGTTTCTCTTACAAAATCCTCTGTACCAGGCCTCACAAATGCCCGGAGCCGGGTCGCGCGAGCACCGTGGCGGGGCTGGCGGCGCGCGGCGCGGAGGCGGGCAACGTGTGCGCGCGCGTGCTGCGCCGCGAGCTGGGCGCGCCGCCGCTGCGCCGCGCGCACTCGCGCCTGCTGCACGCGAACTTCGCGCCCGTGCGCACGCTGCGTCTGCAGGACGACGACGCCTTCTTCACACACACTATATTCCATGTACGTAGTTGCACCTATACCCGGTTTCAGAAATACATTTAACCATTAATATACTTGCTCTTATGCCCGGTTTCGGTGCTACATTAAACCATTTAGTATTTTTTCCCTCCGGCTGAAATAATTTTAAAATTGTCTCAATAAGATTTTTTTTCAATGCATACAGAAATACAAATCTTTACACAACATTAGTATAACTAGCATTCGCCCTCGACTCTCTACGTGGAATTAAAAAAAAAAACAAAGTAAGTAGCCTATATGTTCTTCCACACTATCCTCTACATCTATACCAAATTTCATTAAAATCCGTTCAGCCGTTTTGGCTACAAACTTTATCAAACATCTATCTAAACTTTCGCATTTATAATATTAGTAAAATAGTATAGTAGTGTTACATATAATGTCGTTTCAATATTCCACCGCTAGCCTATGTTTACTGTTTGCTTGCAGCCGACGCAGCAGCAGCTGCTGGCAGCGACGTCATCAGGAGACATCCGAATATTTAACTTGTTTACTGGCATGGAAGAAAACTCCTATCAAGTACACGAATCGTACATATATCATATGCAGGTCAGTAATAAGAGGTTTTATTTACCCCCTTTATAACAACGGTTGAACCCTCTATAACATCATTACATAAACAAGACTCTACTGTGAACATGTTGGACTAATATTAGTCTCTTCCCCTTCTTATCATTTTTCTGTTTGTTTATTTATTTATATTAGGATACATAATAGCTAATTACACAATTACATAGGAGAATAGAAAACAAGTATACACAAAAACTATGAATTAGCTAACAGGTGCATAAATACACTAGCAGAAAAGATTTATTAAAGTAAATTTTTAGTTACTAAAGTTAAGTACTTCTATACTATTATAATAAAGCGTAAACACACACATCTTTGTTGCTCAAGATGTCAGCAATTACACCATATTTTCGAGTAACTCTTTTTTTAATAAAAAGCCCTCCACTGACGTCACGCTTTAGGCTATATATTTTCACGCCGTTAAACTTAGGGGTAAATATTTTGGATAAAAACCATAATGTGGGAAAGACACCATGAGTTGTTGGCAACATCAAGGAAGCAAGGTTGCCATGGTTTGACAAGATGTCATGTCAGTTTGACATTTGTAATTGAAAATTTGACAAATGTAAACAATAAACAGAATTTTTCAAAATTTTATGCGGATGAAGTCGCACGGGAACACATAGTAAATTATAAATTAAATAAAAAAAGTGTACGTGTTCTTTTAGTTTATACTCTATGTCTATGGTAAATTTCATAGATATCCATTCAGCAGTTTAAGCTACAAACTCTAACAAACATCCATCCATTTAAACTTTCGCATTTATAATAGTAAGTATGATGGTAAAGGAGAACGTATTTAACTCTGAAGGGAATGCTTAAAAAGAAATATTCTCTCTGCGAAATAAAGTAGGCGAAGCACTTTGCTAATATCGAGGCAGCGATCATTTCGCTATTTCGGCGAATTTAAATATGAGCTTTTTTTATAATATAAGGCGGAAAACGAGCAAGCGGCCACCTGAATCCACCGAAATGGAAAGCGACCGCTGCACATAGACATCCGCAATTGCAGATGCGCTGCCTACCCTGCATTGACGAAGGAGATGCACATAAAGAGGACACTTCCCTTTACTATGCGTCTCTTTCACCGTCAATTCCACTTTCCCTTCGCATCCTTTCCTCTTAAAAGGGTGGAAAGGGCAAGGCACTAAAATTAGGCCTCCGGCACCACACTCATCAGACTGTACGCGGAATTGCTTCCACTTCACGCCTGTTTTCTGTGTGGTCGTGGTCTTGCACCGGGCGAGCCGGCCCTACAGTGCGAAGATGTTAAATCGGGCTCTACCACTGTTAGAAACTGAGTGTATCGTTTCAGGCCAGCCGCGATGGTCTACTGCTGCTGGCTTCCGCCACCACAACATGGCGGCCACTCTCCGCGCTATGGAATATGAAGGAGTTCGAGCAGCTGTTAGTATACAATAGTTTATATTGTAAATTTGCTATATATTTACCCTGAAGTGGGAAAAGGAGAGTAGATAAAATATAGGAAAGTACAGTACACATTTCACATTACCTCATATATCCAATTAGACTCTAAAAAAGTGAAATAACTTATTTTGGATTACATTAGTCTATTTACATATGTTTTCCCAAAAAGAAATTAATAGTACCAATTTAACCCGCTTCTACCCCAATAAAGCGAAATAAAAAGAATTTTGGATTGTACTTTCCCATTTACCCCCTTGACTACCCTAATATCCCAAAATCTATCATTTTCGTTTCTTATGGTCTATCAAACCAAAATTGTACACATCCGATACGACTAGTCCACTCACCCCGTTCCTACCCTAAAAGTCAAAATGACAGAACAAACGTACCGGCAGCAGATTCCAACTCGACAACGAGGAGTACGTGGAGTTCTCCAAGATGTCTGATGAGCGCATCATCGGCACCAAGGGGGAGACCGCCACGGTCTTCGACACGCGCACCGGCCGCGAGCTGATGACCCTCGCGCCCTCCATCAGCAACCAGTACGCGAAGAACCGCGCCACATTCAACCCCACCGATGAATTGGTACTATCAGGTGAGATCATCTTATACTGGTTTATCATTTTATATGTGTCTGCTTACACTAGTCATATCTTGTCTTATCGAGGCCATATTCATTTACCATTAAAAAATAAGTTATTAGTGTAGTAGTATGGGCTGTTTTAGAAAAAAGGTTTTAATGTAACATTTTTTTTTATAAATTTCCAGATGGAGTACTATGGGACGTGAACACCGGCAAAGAGATACATAAATTCGACAAACTAAACCAGACGCACAGCGGAGTCTTCCATCCAAACGGCCTTGAGGTACAGTCGGAGAATTTAATTCGCTTACCACTTGAAATACATCAAATTGTTACTATAAGAAATATAAGATAACATATCTATGACAAGTTTATGATAAATGCATTGTGAGCGTCTAATAAAACAGAAATGGGTAGGAAATTAACTCATACTACAATACCTATATTTTGTGTAAATTCTATATAACGACGCTCTAAGTACGGAGCATGTTGCGACGTTATAAAGAGTGCTCGTAAATGATAAATTAAAGATTTTAATTGACTGTAGTTTTTTTGTTTTATAGTAACACTTGATTTCTTGCTGTATTATCGACGTTAAATAGTGTTCATGACGCTATATGGAATATAATGTATGAAAAAATTGTAAGTGTAAACCAATCGAAAGAGCTAAGTTTACGTTTTAAAAATACGAGGTTACATGGAGTGGTTTAAAAAGACTGACGTTACATTGAGTGACCTTACAAGAACGTAACGTTACACCGAGTGATGTTATAAAGAGGTTCACGTTACATCGATTTGGTTTAAACAGATTGTCAATAACAGCGAGTATGCGCGTGCCTACATTTCGATATATTTTAATAGACTTTAGACAGTTTTGTCCTAATCGCCACAAAGTAGCCATTTATTTATATTACAATACCAATACAGATGGAAGTAACTTCGTGACGTTATAAAGAATGTGACGTTATAAAAAGTGAACACTGTTATTATTTGCAGGTGATATCAAACACAGAAGTATGGGATTTAAGAACTTTCCATTTGTTGAGAACTGTACCTACATTAGACAAATCTGAGGTATGTTTTTGATGTCTAAAATACTAGCTTTGGTCTGCGACTTTTCACACGGAAATAAAAATAAACTTATTAAGTAGCCAATAAGTTCTTCCTACGGTCAAATTTCATTGCGATCTGTTAAGCCGTTCTAGACATATTTCGTCAAAGACATCCATCCATTAAAACTAGCTCACGGCTACGTCCACGGGGAATTTAAAAAAATATAGCCTATGTTACTCAGCTATAACGTAGCTTTTTAATGGTGAAAGAATTTTTGAAAAAGCGGTAGTAGTTTTTGAGTTAACCCAATACATAGATTAATACAACTCTTTCCTCTTTATAATGTTAGTATACTATCTTTTGCCCTCGACTCCGTCCAGGTGGAATTAAAAAAAAACATAAGTGAGTAGCCTATGTGTTTTTCTTAACTATGTACATCCATACCAAATTTCACCGAAATCCGTTCAGCAGATAAGCTACAAACTCTAACAAACCTCCATCCATCCATCCATTTATAATATTTATATGGTATATGTATGTTTCCAGGTGATATTCAACCCGACGTGCTCCGCGCTGTACGCGGTGTGCTCCGACCAGGACTCGGAGGAGCGCAGCCAGTTTGATACCAGCTTTAAGACGTTGGACCCATACGATTACTCCAGTATAGGTATTGCATATTTTTTTTTTTATCATAACAAGTTTAAATAATAATTTAACATAATAAAAATGAATCGATTTTTGACTTTTTGACCTTGAGAAACTTTGTTGTGTTTTACGTCGAAGTGACATCTGAGCGTATGTTATGAATGGAATATGACGATTGACGTCACGTGTCTTATAACAACTCCGGCCGCGTTTTAGTCGCTCGAAAATGGTCGTAATTTTATTTTATTATTTTAGCTCAACGGTTGAATATTTTCGCGTCAAATTTTTTTTCTGGTTATTTTATAACAAGTAGGATCGTTTAAAAAAAATGCATATTCCCTTTTGATAATTTATCAAATGTAAACAATAAAGTAAAATTTTCTGTGAATTTTATTAATGTTTTAATGTTTTTACAGCGACTATCGACGTGAAGCGCAACATCTACTCGCTGGGCGTGTCGCGGTACGGCACGCAGATATCGCTGGTGGAAAACATGGGCGACTTCGAGCAGGTGCAGGAGTCCTGCGTCAAGTTGTACGACGTCGGCCGCAAGAGGGACCACGACGATGACGCGGTCAGCACACACACACACACACACACACATCGTTCATCACATGAACATCGTACATCACATGAACATCGTACATCACATGAACATCGTACATCATATGAACATCGTACATCACATGAACATCGTACATCATATGAACATCGTACATCACATGAACATCGTACATCACATGAACATCGTACATCACATGAACATCGTACATCACATGAACATCGTACATCACATGAACATCGTCCATCATATGAACATCGTACATCATATGAACATCGTGTCCTTGTGTAGGTAAAATTTTAACTGAACAGTCCAACTATTAATTAAAATATTGCCTACACATGCACGATTAAATTTCATAAAAATGAACGTATGTAGCGGACTTTATGTGGGTTTTGTTTATATTTTTAAAGAATAAAATGTTCTGGCATTATAACAAGTTATAGTAAATATATCGAAAATTTCAACCTTCTAGATTTATCTATAACGAAATTTTCAAGGTTATCAATATATTTTCTGTTACATTAAAAATTATAAATTACGAGTTATTTCGAAATGTTAAGTTTATAGTCTTGTTTTATAACTGTTTGCGAAAATTACATGAAGATTTCATTACCAGATTTTAGTACAAAGTATAATTTTGAAATATGAGACAATATCTAGATTCTTTATATCTCAGTATCTGGATCTGTTTGTGTTTTTATATATTTATGGTATTTTTGTTATATTCCAGGAGGAGGACGACGAGGAGGACATGGCCGGCGGCTCTGACAACGACGATGGCTCCGACTCCGGTTCAGATAACGACGACGATCGTTAGTATAACATTAATATACTAAAACTGTTCTAAAACTAACTGTTTCTCGTAACTTTGTCCCCTACTACTTGTACCCTAATAGCTTTCGCACGCGACTCTGTCCGCGTGAAATTAATAAGTGAGTAGCCTATATGTTCCAGACTATGTTGCCTATGTTTTCCAGACTATCCTCTACGTCTTTGCAAAATAAAGCTACAAACTCTAACGAACATCCATCCATCTTAACTTTCGCACTTTTATTTTTTTTATAATATAAGGTGGCAAACGAGCAAGCGGCCACCAGAATCCACCGAAATGGCAAGCGACCGCTGCACATAAACATCCGCAATTGCAGATGCGTTGCCCTTCATTGACGGAGGAGGAAACGCACATAAAGAGGACATTTCCCCTTCCTGTGCATCTCCTTCACCGTCAAATCCACTTTTCCTTCCCATCCTTTCCTCTTAATAAAAGGACGAAAAGGGAAAGGGACTTAAATTAGGCCTCCGGCACCACACACATCAGACGAAACGCGGAATTACTTCCACTTCGCGCCTGTTTTCTGTGTGGTCGTGGTATTACTGGGGGCGAGCTGACCCATTCCTGCAAAGATGTTAAAGCGGGCTCTACCACTGTTAAATAGTTATAATATTAGTATGATGTTACTCAGCGATAACGTAGCTTTCTAATGGTGGAAGGATTTTTAAAATCGTCCCAGTAGTTTTTGAGTTATTTCGATACATACAGATAATGTATTCAAACATTTTTCTTAAAACATAGTCTGAAAGAACACAGACTATTTATTAAGTTTTAAAAACACACTAAACTTGTATCTTATTGACCTTACTAATATTTTAAATGCAAAAGTTTAGATGGATGTTTGTTAGAGTTTGTAGCCTAAACTGCTGAACGGATCTTAATAAAATTTGGTATAAACTTAGAGGAAATTTGGTATAAATGTACTTCCATTTGTTTTTTTATTTCACGCGGACGGAGTCGCCGGCTGAAGCTAGTCTAAAAGGAAAGATTTGTATTTTTGTATGTACTGAAATAATTCAAAAACTACTGATCCGATTTAAAAAATTCTTTTACCACTAAAAGCTACATCACTGAGGAACGTAAGATATATTTTTTTAGTATTTTCAATCCTTGCGAACTGTGTCGTAGGCAAAAACAACATGTTTTGGAAATTTCGCCTGATATTAAAAAAAAATTGTTTTCAGTTGCAGCGAATTTATTGCGGAATGCGGTGATGGGTCTGGCGGAGGGCGGCAGCAGCGGTGATGACTCCGCTGATGATGGTGATGATATACGTCCTAGACGACCAATGCGCACGCGCAGACGGGTAATATATCTAGACTCTAGGAGGTCTATAGTTTGTCTAATTAAGATTATTTAGATAAATCTATCTAAACTAATATAATGAAGCGTAAACACACACTACTTTGTGGTGTAGGATGTCAGCAATTACAGTATATTTTTACAATAATTTTTTCTTTAATAAAAAGTCATATACTTACGACACGCTTTAGGCTAATATTTTCACGCTATAAAACTTAGGGGTAAAAAAAAACAGAAAAAAAAACATAGTTGTTAATAGGTGCTACGAGGGCCCTTTCGGGGGTAAAAAAAATATTTACAGGTAAATGAACTGGAAAAAAACCCTTCCTGTGAGAAAATGACCGTAAACTCTACTTCTACAATTTAATTTTTTGTCATTTCTATTGATTTTAATGATTGTTTTTTACATTCTTGAATTTATTTTTCAATTTTTGTTCCAGGCCGCGGAAAATAATATGAGTGACAGCGACGGTGACGGTGACCTTGATATAATTGAGTTTGAACTCGACTAGTACAATAAATGCGTTTACAATTATTGTTGTTTTTGATTTACTTGTTTTTTTTTGTTTATTTGTATGTGTACACAACAGTTGAAAATTTAAAAGTAGCCCCAGTGGTAGAGAAAGTAAGGAGTAAAAGGTTAGCATGGGGGCATGTCATGTGAGTGTGGAGGTACACCGATATAGGTAGACCTAGAAAGAGATGGATGGATTGTGTAAAAGGTGACATGATCAAAAAGGGAGTGATGACTGAGATGACGTATAGTTATGTGGAGGACAAAAACCCGGCGAGAGTAGAAAAAGTTAGGGGAGATGAAGTGTAATGTACACAAAATAGTAAACAAGTATATACAAAACCAAAAAATCAGCCAACAGGTGCATAAATACATCAGAAACAATTTTGTTAAGTTTAGTCAACACTTATTACAACGGTGTTTTAAGCAAAAAATATTACCAACATACTAGAATTAAAATCTCACGTGTTTTTCTCTAAACTAGTATAGTAATTTTTTTAATTAGTTGTTTACACTGGACAGGAATATTGAAAAATGTGTATGAAAATATTGCCAAATGGAATATTACATGAAAACGTGATAATTTTGTACCTTTTTAAAGAAATTAAGGGAATCTGACACAAAGCTAATTTTGATAAGGTTTTAACCAAAGTTATTTTTTAATTAAAAAAGAGAAAACTATTCAGATAGAATTGGCTTTGTTACTAAATTAATGGAAAAGATCTAAAACTAGCAGGATCGGGTCAAATAAACACGTATATTTAATAAGATTTTTTTATTTCGCATAAATACCAAATAAATACACTTAAAAATTTAAAAAAAAATCAATATGTAAAATTGTCATTGGTCATTGCGTCATTGTTTATGATTTCCATCAAAACGAGCGCAAGCGTAAGCGCTTGGAAGGAAGGAAGTTTTATTTTTAAGGACTCATAACATAAAGCAAAGTCTCCATATACATTTCACCATAGACATTATAAGCTTTACATCCATAATAACCAGTGTGACCTTGAGTTGCATTTTTTATCATTAAATGAGTTTTCGTTGCTTCTCCTTCTAGAAATATTGTAGTTAAATCCATGTCCGCGGTCTCTTCGAATAATGGCTGAGCGTCTACAGTCCACAGAATTATCGGCTCTGGTATGGCTTTTATACTGAAAGTTATGGTCGCGGCTGTACCCTCTAATACTTTTGTCACTGGTTCAATACTTTCAAATGTTGGCCCCACTGTGGATAAAAAGGAAAATGTCATTTAACAACACTATTGAATAAAAAAATAAACAATCGGAATAAGATGAATCGAATGACATTCCGTTCATCGAAATCGATTCAATCGTGTTATAGTCCAGTGTTTCCCAACCTTAATATTTCTAAAATGCCCCGTACATAATTTTTAAGGTTAAAAACTTTAGTAACATCAAATTATATTGTACCTAAGGATTTCTAGTTCGGTTTTTTTGATGAAAACAACGATATTACATTTAAATAACCCGGAGCGAATGTCCGTTCTAGTCCATTTTTTAATTGCCCTTGTGAAGGGTGGTCCCTACGTTAGGAGACTTTTTAAAAGAAAATCTACTTACTAACAACTATAACGTCAAAATGGTGTCTTCTTGGTGGATTTACTTTATTTCTGACGATACAAGTATACGAGCCTTGGTCTTCTACTTCCACGTCATTTATCATAAGCACTTGTCCTCTATTTTTATTATCGATGGTAATCCTATTTGTTGAGTTCAGCACCCACTTGTTGTGTTTCATCCAAGTGATATTTGGCGAAGGGCTGGAACATGCAATAATTAAAAAACTGCAATTTCATTCTTTAAAACCAGTGCTAAAACAAATGTATAATCGAGGAGTTTGACGGTGCTCCATCTTCAAATTTTAAACACAACGACCGAAAACAATAATCAATAGAACGCAAGTTTTAAATGTTTCTGAACGAAATAAGGTTATTCAGTAGTACACGGATAATTGCTTTTTAATAATATCCTGTAGTACTTGTAAGCGGCGTATATTTTCTCTTTGCTAGGAACAATGATGGTTTTTTCAAGTGGAACACCGTGTATTTCCGCGATTGTACAGTCGGGGATTTTTAATTCCTATCCTGCATTCTCAATATTTCTTTCTCAATATTTTTATATTATAAGTTGACAAACAAGCAAGCGGCCACCTGAAACCGCCGAAATGGCGAAGCGATGCCCGTAGACGTCCGCAATTGCAGATGCATTGCCTACCTTAAATCAACGAAGGAGTAGCCCATAAAGAGGCTATTTCCCCTTCATATGCGTATCCCCCACCGTCAAATGCACTTGTCCTTCCCATCGCTTCCTCTTAAGAAAAGGATGTAAAGGGAAAGGGACAAAAATTTTCAATATGCCTCAATAGATGTATCACATTAATCCAAACCAATAGATAATAGATTACCTTCCAGAATAAATGCAATATAATTTAATACTTTTTCCAGCTTCAGCGACCATATCCCCACTTATGTACAATTCTTCTAAATATTTACTACCCATTTCATTATCGTCCACCTCTGTTATTAAATGTTCAGCTGCTAACACTGAATTATTATTCACTTTAGAAGTAACAAAACAAACGTATGATATATTTTTGAACGCATCCTCTTTTGTCACATTGAACAACCATAGACCACCATTTAGTACAACTATATGCTCTTTTGTTATATCTGTAAAATTATTAGGATCTTTGGTATCTTTTATTTTCCATTCAAATATCGGATTCGGATTGTATTCTGCTGGACAATCTAGAAGTACTGGTTCTTTATCGATAGCAGTATGGTCCTCTATATATTCAGTTACATCGATATAAGTATCGTATACATTTATCATTGCTGATGTCGCGACTCTTAAGTTCTGTTCGACGAAGCATTGATATCGTCCAACATCTTCTTCAGTTGGATTTAAAATTGTTATCGTACCATTGTCCTTGTTCGACATTATCCTGGGATTGGATTTAACGTTGAGGGTATCTCCGTTCTTTTCCCAGGAGTAACTGGAAAATTATTAAATGGTATTTTTATATCATAAGCCAACGAACCGTTAACTGAATTCACCAGAATAGGGAAGCGACCGCTGGCTGGAGGCAAAAACGCGTTGCTTACCTTTATCGACGGAAGAGGGGAAGCACAAGAAGAGGATTGAATACCTCTCTTACCTCCGTCAAATTTACTTTATCCTTTATTAGAAAAGGGTGGCAATGATATGGGGATTGAATTTCGACCTTCAACACGCACGCATTAGACGAATCGCTTCCACTTCGTAACATTCTGTGTGGTCGTTCTTAATCTCTCATTCGTACAACAGATGTTGCTGGCACACAGCACTGTTAAAACGACGACTTTTAAAATCACTTACGTTAAATGTGGATTTTTTTTCACTGTGGTACATGGCAATGTGATATTTTTCGGAGGAATCTCGATCCACAGTACAGCTGGTGCGGGCACTAGTATCGGGAACAGATTTAGGTCATTTGGTTTACCAGTACTTATGATGTCTGTTTGAAGACCTAAACGTAAATCACTGCTTTAACATTTACAAATGATTAACTACAAATGTCAAAGAATAAAATTCTCTGCTACCCACTAAAAATCGAATATCGTACAGCACTTGCGTAGTTTCGATGAAATTGTATTTCACTAAAATGGATAGGAGATATATATCCTGTACATATGCGTAGATATTAAAGTCTAAAATCAACAATTGGAATGCCATGAGTTAACTCTCCAAGTTAAGAATACTAAAATTATCGTTTTTTTATTTACATAATGGTGTATATTTATGTATTATTAAAACAAAACTTACACAAACTGCAAAAAATTACAAATAAATTAAACGGTTTGAAGAAATTCATTCTGCTTACTTCGAAATAAAAAGCACTTTGTTACATTTTCGCGCGTTTCCTAACCTTAAATAAAATCCGACGAAAAACTTTATTGGACTTGTAACGGTTCACCTAACAACTAGTGATGTTCTTATAAACGCCGTGTATAAAAATTGTATGCAAATTTAATTGCACAAAATAACAGCGTTTTTCTTCGTTTCCTTTAATGCGTTTAGAAAAGCATGGTCACTTGTCAGCACTTATCACTTATTCATTTTGTCTAGATATTGCAGTAGCAAGGATAGGGACAGCATATTTCAAACGACTTTCGCGAGCGATGAGCCATAATGCCAGAAACCCAGTTCATAGTCAAATAATTAATATTTTACAACCAAAATCAGTTTCTATCGATAATGTCGATTTCATATAAGCGCATCCTCGAGGGCATCACTATTTAATTTACCAGACAAAGTTACAAATAGTGCGTTATACAGGTATCGAATGATGTTTATAAACATCTAGAAGTAAAAGTTAACAAGGCATACATTAACATAAAATATTATTACTTAAGCACGTTCGCTTAAGTGTAAACAATAACCATTTTCTTTTACGCTGCGTCACTTTAAAAAACATAGCGCGTTCAATTTATTTCGACCAGTTAAATAAAGATTCAGTTGATTTTTTAACCAATATAAATTATATAGAATTGTACAAAATAATTGAAATATCTTAAGTAGACATCGATTTCAAAATCGATTTTGAATATTGTAATTGTAACATCGATATAATTCACTTCCTTATTTGTTGACAGCAAGAGCAAGATGACATGACAATGACAACGCGTCTAACCTCAAAATATTAATAAAATAATAACATTAGGGAATAAAATAAATAAATAAGGATGTTGCTTCTATATTTATTAGGCGTCTTGTCATATATAGTACAAGCGATATTTATAACTTTGGCTGTTGGTGAGTACATATGAAGATGTGGATACTACGAAAAATAATGTTTTTACACTTTTAAAACTTTGTGTTTTATTTTAGCGGCTGGACTTTATTATTTAGCTGAATTAATAGAGGAATATTCAGTGACAGCAAAATACGTGATATCTTGGTTAATTTTTGTAAGTTTCCAATGTTATGTTGCTAAATTTACATTCGAAAAGTGTTCAATACTGATCGTATTTTTTTACTTATCAGGGTACAGCGGCTATTCATATTGGTTTAATGATATTCGAAGATTTACCTCTGTATTTAAATATCCTGGGTTTGCTGCAGCAATTTATTCATTGGATGATGATACGAGATTTCCCTGTGATCAAAATGACGAGTGTCAGTTTATTAGCTTCTGTGGTTAATTTGATTTTACACCATTACTTGGCGTTTAAGTTTTTTGGCACTGCATATATTGCTTTCTCAGAGGTAAGGGTCAAAGTACTTTTGTATTAATTAGTTCTACAGTAGTTTAAGAGATTTCATCTTTATTAGGAATTCACTAATAAGATAAAAATTTATTATTTAATAAAACTAGCTAGACAATAATATTATGTACTTCAAATACTTTCGACTTTCAACCTACTCTAATGCCTACTTCACACTAAGCTAGTAAATTAGTTGAATAACAGGTTATTTAGTAACTATTTGACTCAAGAATAAAAATGTATTGACATATTACTAGCCTAATGTAAACTAGGCATAAGGTGTTTAGGCCTTAGACAACCATGGTGCCTCAGTGTGGTTGGTTGTCACACATCTTTGAATTTCTTCTCAGATGTTTGTGGGAACGGAAATTTAAAAGCAAAGTATACTTGGGGACTGAACCAGTAAAATTAAAAGACCAATGTCCTTCAGTATTCTACCTTTTTCATATAAGGGAAGAATGGAAAGTAGTGCAATTAGCATAGTATGGGATACATGTAGGCAAAATATTCTTTTTCTATGTTTCCCATACTCTGTTCATTATATATAGCAAGGCATCTAATGCAGATGTCTATGTAAAGTGGTCACTTCAATAATTTAGCGGTTGCCAGGTTTTGTCAACTTTTACATTTGCACCTTTTGTTTTTCAGGTGTTAGGATATTTCACAATATGTTTGTGGCTGGTTCCACTGACATTGTTTGTGTCTCTGACTGCCAATGATTATGTACTACCAACACGAGGAGAGAAGCAACCATTACTAGGTAAATATTGTTATTATTAACTCTGTCTGCACCAAATAAAAAATAATAAGTAAACCTATGTGTTCTTCCAGACTATGTTCTACAACTATGCCAAATTTAATTGAGATCCTTTCAGCAGCTTAGGCTACAAATTTCCATCCATTCATCCATTTACCCAAACATTCACTTTGATAATATTGGTAAGATACATAGACAATTGTTTAGAAATGACAGCTTTTGTTTTCTTCATACTTAAACACACCTTTTGATGTTAATGACAATTAAGTAACACTTTAATTAGTACAAAAAATCTTCATGGTCTTAATTCAAAAAGCTCCTGATCGAATGTTGGCGAAATGGGTCACTTAAGTTTGTCACACTATAAATATCTGCAAGGAACATTACTTTCTCATTGGTATAGTAATGTTAATATTTTTCCAAGTTAAAAATAACTTTTTTTTTTAATTCCAGGTGATAACAATGTTGTGACAGATTATCTGTCGCGTAAAGCGAACACATACAGTCTGCTGTCATTTTTCAGTTACGCGAAAGATTCAATACTTCCGCAAAGAAGTAAAAAGGCATTTTGAAATTAGTTCAATTGTGTTTATAAAAGTTTACATTTTCTGTGCCACTGACTCGCTTTACGAGTTTACGTAAAACGGCACTGGACGTGTTGAATGTCAAATTTGACATTGACAGATGACATTTCGAAGTGAAGCTGTCAAATAAAAGGCAAAGGTTAATATCATACAGCCAAAGTTTACATAACATTATTATATTGTTTAAATGGGTATTTAATTAGTTTTTTTTAGGCGATTTAGATTTTGTAGATTTTTCAATTTAGAATGGCTAGAAATTTAAATAGTCTGAGCTATAGTTTGCAATAATCCCGTTTTAAAAAAAAATTGGACAATATGAAATTTCATAGACTGTATATTAACTTTAACAAGTCTTTGTTTTTTCTATGAAAAGAGAATTAAGATATGTTTACATAATTGGCACTCGGAAATATGACTTTAGTTTCTACACTTCCTTGCCTCGTAGGTTTTTAAATACTCTTATTTATTTATGTAACATAAAATAGATTGTTTTGTAAGAATTTAAGAAAAGACGTTTAAATAATTTTGTAAATATTATGTATTATTTATTTGTTTTTGTATGCTTTGTGATAACGAAATAAATAATTAAAAAAAAATGTTTTGATGATTTTTTTTAAATTATGACTTAGCTACAAAGCGGGCATCTTGAAATAGTGATGTGACCACTGCCCATTCGCATTTACGTTACCTTCTGTCTACGGACACATTTCCCCTCATGCGTCCTGCACCAAAATCCATTTTCCCGTCCTATCACTTAGAGGGTGAGAAGAGAATGGGAATTAGAATTAGAGAATACGCAGAATGTATTCGAAGAAGATGTCTGCTCTACCACTATTAAATAACCATGAAAAGGCATGACTTGAAGATAATTTTTAAAGAAAATGTTAACCATAGTAAAAGAAACTTTTATACATAACTATTTTATTGTTTAATCTTTAAGATTTGAAGTACTTTTATTTAACAAGTAATAAATATTAAGTGGCTGAAATATTGTTAATTCTATTTTAACGAAGACGTCAACCATAGATTGTAGGTTTTAAAACTACGATCTTCGACTCTATCCATAGAGGTAGATTATAATCTATGAACATAATGTTTTGTAGGTTACTATTATTTATAGCTAAGTATTTTATTTTAAAATTACACCTATTAAAAAAGTGGCGTTATTTTTTAGGTCTATTTTTCACAATAGAGTGATGAACTCTCAAATGTAATTTCAAGCTTGTACTCTGCACAAACGCTTTCCCACATTCAGAACAAACATATCTTTTATCATTCGTATGTGTTCTTCTATGATAATCTAACGTCTTTTTTCTTTGGAAACATTTCTTGCAGAATTCACATTCGAATGGCCTTAAATCGTTATGTATCGACATGTGTATTTGCAAAGAATCTTTATCGAAAGATTTGTAACCACATGTATCGCAGGTGAACCTTTTCTCTTTTAGATGAACCCTTAAATTGTGTCTACTTAGTGTACTTCTAGTCAAAAATACTAGCGGGCACAACTTGCAGGCGAATTGCGAACTTTTCTCGCCATGTTCTAGCGCTAGATGGCGCTTTTTCATATATCTACTACTGAGCACTTCTGGGCACTTCGGACATTTTAAATAAAACGTTTTGTGGACTGTAATCGCGTGTTTGTCCATTGAATGCCTTGAACGAAATGTTTCCCCACATTTAATACATTTAGTACTGTTTTCGCCCATATGAACATTTTTTACATGATTTGTTAAATTCAGTTTCGTTACGAAAGCTAGACTGCAGTACTCACAAACGTGTTTGTTATTATCATAATTGTGATAGTTGTGAAAATGATTTAAAAGCGGTTTGAAGAAAACAAATTTTGCACCACAGATAATACATGTCATGCCATCATCGGATAAATTGAACGTAGAGAAAAATTGTGTCACATCACTATCGTATTTAACGTCATGAGCATAGACAACGTGGTCTAAGAATTCTTGAAAACTTTTTATAGTCTTTGGACATTTTGTACAAGCTATTTCCGATATATCTAATTTAACTTTCACTTTTTTAAGTAAGCTTTTTAACGTGTTATCGCTTATAACACCCGAATGCTCTTCCTTAGTATGACGTTTGAGTTTCTCGCATTCCAAGAAATGATCCCCACAGTAGAAACACGAATATTTATTATATGACCATCTAAATGGAATTATTGTAGAATGTTCTCGAATTAATTTAATCAATTTGACCAATTTTTCGGTCACTCTTTTTTTTCTTGATGTTCTTGTTTTTATTATATCTCTTTCTATTGGCATTGAAATTTCTTCTGTAATGAAACAAATTTTCTAGGTTATTATTCTATTAATTTACAAATTGTAATTTTAACTACGAGTGTGCTTAAATTATGATAATGTATTTCTTCTTAATAACAGTAAGTCAAAAAACGTAATTTAAACAAAATCTATTTCCGTTATGAACATTAATTTGAAATATTTATAAAAAAAATCATCGGATAAACTGAACGAAGAGAAACAAATTATCTTGGTTATAACTTTTTTTTATTGTAAAAACTGTAACTTTAAATCTATTGAAACGATAAGATATTGTATTATAAGTTTCGTTTTAAACCAAATTTTTCAATAGCAATCTAACATAGATGACGGATTTTTTTTCTAACGTTTAGGTTAGAATCTTAAAAATAATTTAATATTGCTTTAGCTAAAGATTAATTACATAATACATAAGAATTGCGTTAGTTGAGCGTCCAAATACCTTTGTTTATTCCTAAATAAATAAATACTCAGATTTTTTATAAAATGTTTGCATTTGCAAAAAAAAACTAAATCTTTTTCTGTGCTGAACTTAAATTGCTGTTATAAATATATGTGAAATTATTTAGATTTCATAATTATTATAGCAAGGTCGGGCTAGCAGGACACGTTATAAGTTAGGCCTAATTTTTTTTTAAATGCCGTTTTTTATTTTCTATCCCTCACTATAGAATGATGTACTCTTAAATGTATTTTCAAACTAGTACTCTGAACAAACGCTTTCCCACATTCAGAACATACGTATCTTTTATCATTTGTGTGAATTCTTCTGTGAAACTCTAGAGTCTTCTTTCTTTGGAAACTCTTCTTGCAGAATTCACATTCGAATGGCCTTGAATCGTCATGTTTCACCATATGACGTTGCAAATTTTCTTTGTCAAATGATTTATAACCACAAATTTCACAAGTAAATGATTTCTCTTGTACGTGAACTCTTAAATTGTGTGTTACTAACGCGCTTTTAGCCAAATATACTCTTGGACATAATTCGCAAGCGAATTGAGAACTTTTTTCATCATGAACGAGAGCTAGATGGCGTTTTTTCAAATACCTACTACCCAAAACTTCTGGGCACTTCGGACATTTCAATCTGTCAGTTTTATGCTCTTTCATAGAATGTTGGTTCAAAGCGTAATTACTAGTAAATGATTTTCCACATTTCTCACATTTTCTACCATTGTAGCTACCGTGTACATTTTTCATGTGGCTTTGAACATTCACTTTGGCTATGAAACTCTGTCCGCAAATCTCGCATAAGAATTTATTTGCTATTTTATTATGATGTTTGTGTACATGAGTTAAAAGTGGTCCGAAAAAACGAAATTGTAACCCACAATCGATACATCCCATTGCGTCATCAGATAATTTAAAGCAAAAGAAATGTTTCGTCACACTTTTATCGTACGTTATATCATGAACTTTGGTCGCGTGTTCTAAAAAATCATCAAAATTGTCTATTACTTTTGGACATTTTTTGCAAGCGATTTCCGACACATCTAATTTGACTCGAGCATTTTTTAACAAGCTTCTTAATACGTTATAGCTGTTTAATTCCGCATGTTCTTCTTTAGTGTGTTCTTTTAGTTGTTTACTGTCGACAAAGTCGTAACAGCAGTAAAAGCACATATATTTATTTGAATACCATCTAAAGGGCATTATTGTGGAGTTTTCTAGAATTATCACGAGCAGTTTGGCCATCTCGTCCTTTTTTATTCTCGTCTCCAGTCGATCGTCAAGCTTTGACAAGTACATAAGTTCTGTAATAAAACAAATTTTCTATTTATTTCTTCTTCTATACTTTTAGTGTTTCTTTATATTTATTTTACAATACAAGTTTTATTTTCTTAAATTAGATTATCTAAACTATAATTAAGAGGATAAACCTATATTAATTATTTCTATTTTATTTGCTTTTAGTACATTTCCAACAAAAATAGATGTAATTTCCACCATTTGTGAGATTTTCAGGTTTAAAAAAATAAACCAGTAAAAATTTTTTTCGTTATTTATTGTAGTTTTAACATAAAAACCTTTAATGCGCAATTCTTATATGAAATAGTCTATAATTCACAATTAGTACTGATATAAACAGTAACAGAACATATATCTTTATCTACTTAAGGCCGGTTTCCCAGTTATGTTTAGCATTCGTTAGTGTTTCGATAAATTCATGATATGAGTTTCCGAACCACTCCCTTAAAACGCCAAATTAATATAATAAATCGCTAGGTAATAACAAAATAAGTAAATACTTCAGAAACCCAGCATTAAGTCCCGTTTATCATCATCCATTTGCCCTTATCCCTTATAGAGGGTCGGCACAGTATGTGCTGCTCCATACATCTCTATCAGCCTTTTTCACACAATCCATCCATACTTCGGTCTTCCTCTTTCTTTGTAGTCATCTACATTCATTCTTAACACTATCCGGTTAATTTAGAATGTTTTTGTTTATTAAAAAAAATACACTGAATTGCGTTTCCGAAACACTTAACTTGAGTTTTACTCCCTTGAAACTTAGCTCAATCTAATAGTAATGGATCTCTAGGTAATGACAAATAAGTATAAACCTCAGAAACCCAGCATTAATAAATTCCCGTTTGTATTTAATTTTTTTTTGTTAATTATAAAAACATTGAATTATTAATAAATTTATGGAAATTGAGATTCTTCTTGGTGAATAGAAAAAAAATGTCGCTTCATAGATTTTTTTGTCTTGAACATTTTTTCGCAACCGGTGCATTTGATATTTCTGACAGTACTATGTGTTGCCATGTGCATTTCTAGAGCGTATTCACCAAACGACTTCCAACCACAGACATGACATTCGGCATTTTTTTCTTTCAAATGTGTTTGTCTCACATGCCTTAACATCGAACTTTTAAAAACAAAAGTTTTCGAACAAAATTCGCATGAAAAATGTTCACGACTTCCGTGCACCATCACCATATGGGTGGTGAGTTTATAATTTGTTGGCAATAGAAGACTACATATCCTACATTTGTATCTTTTACCGTGAAATTTCTCCATATGCGTTCTCAATCTTGTAAAAGGTAAAAAAAGACTGCATTTCGAACATTTTACGCCATTCTTGTGTTGAGATTTGATATGATTTTGTAGATAATTAAAAGTAGTGTAACTCTGACCACAGATATCACAAAGATTTTCTGCCTGTGGATGTTCTTTGCTAGTATGAATAAATATCTGGCTGA